CCCAGGTCGAACATGCCCTCTTCGGCCTGTGCACTTGCCCTCATGCTCGGCACCTCAGAGCTTGGCGCAAGTCAGTGAGCAGACTGGGCTCGACTGGGCTCGTGACTCCTTATAAGGAGCGTTCTCCATGATCGTCCCAAATTCATCGAATCAATCTAAAGCCCTTCCTGGTTGATAGTTGCAAATCACTTGAATATGAGTCAGTGGGATCAATCATCTCAAGTATATTAAAGGATCAACATACCTAGCACTTCCAATGGGTGTTTACATAGGGTAAGGTAGTCGATTGGACACCCATTGCATGATCCTAGTATCTCTGAAGCATCATGCCCGTGGCGTCGCAGTCTGTTTCCAACCCGTAGGGAGATCCGAAAACGAGTTTCCTGCATTCGCACAGGGTCAGCCCTCACAAAAAACCCTCCCCAAGCCTACCCTCCTTTTCACTGGGAATTTTCCTGGAAGTCCAGTGAGACGACTACTACCTCTGAGGTGTACTACTAGATGACCGGAATGTCCCAGAAGCTCCTGACTTCCCACTTCGCTGGTGCCACAAATCTCTCCACTTCGCTCGGGACTCGGCACACCTCCACCCTTCGTCGACCGTCACCTGGAAACACCACCCCCAGCGCAGGTCACGTCGTCCACGAGTTCGTTCTGGCCGAGGAGCTGTGCGCTTGGGCTGCCTGGCTCAAAATCCCCAGGCACGCTTTTGGATCCATGGCGCGCTTTCTGCCCGCGCGCGTTCTGGCACGGAAAGGCTCGCGTTGGCCGCCAACTAGACACCCGCCGTTGGTCGCTTTGGGGCAGTGTCCGCCGGTTGGTCTGCGCTGTGAGGGTCAACTCATGGACGTCCCGGGACTGCCAACGAAAAGGATGTTGTGGGCTGCTCAGGGCCCGTTCGTTGTTCAAAAGGTGAAGGAATGGGTTTCAGGGATGTAAAGGGGCGTTCCTCTTCGGAAGGCAAAAAATTGGTTGATTTGGGTGACCAATCATGGTGATACAAGAACTGTTCGGTGTGTCGGGACAGTTTGCGGGACATCTGACATCTGCGCAGTCGGGACATCTGAAGAAGAGCCAAGGCCGAGGATGTGCCATCACAGCAGAAAAACTTTAAAAAAAAAAGCTTTGGCCCGGACCGTCAGACTGGAACCTGCAATACAGTGAAAGATTAAAGCATCTTGTATACCTTTGCAGATGCAGAACCTTTGCAAGTCGTTCCGAACCTCACCTCGCACCGGCCACTCCTGAGGCACCGGCCATAACCCGAAGAGAACCCCAAATTCTGCCTTCGGGTCAGGCCTCACCAAGCATCAACTCCGTCCCAGTCGCGGCAGCGCGGCCATTCCCGACACCATCGGCGCGGTCGTTCGGATGGCTTTTGATGGGAAGAGTCGTCTCAGGTGTACCAGGGACGAGTCACTCGAATGAACCAGAACCACAAGCGAGTTCGACAGGAACCGCTTCAGGCCCCACGGCCCCACGACTGAGCCGCCGGGGGCCACATGGAACCGGGCTTGGCATGGACCGACATGGAAGACTAGCTTCCTCCAGTGGTTTTCAGAATCCCTCTGGGTCTCTGACGCAGGGCGTATATAAACCATGTTGCCATGATCTGGCATACTGAAAGATCTGAAGACATCCCTGGCATACTGAAGGATCCTCACGGTGTCCCAGGTTATTCCAAATCAGCCCTTCGCCACGACTGCGCCCGCGTGGACCGCGGACCCTTCGAAGAACCGGAACTTCCGGAAAAAAACGCCGCTCTGAGCGGTGAAAGTGGGCGCCCAGCGTCTTCATATCGCAGTCCAGCTGGCCGCGGTTGGCCGTTCGCGGTCGCGCAGTCTGACCCAGGTCGTGGGCCATGGGATGCGTTGATTGTCGCGTGACCATGACCAAGTCCCGAAATGAGCGTTTGTTCGGGGAGTTAGTGAAAATGACATGAAGAGGGTTCCTGAAGTTCCTGAGTATCTTTTGACTCACTGATCAAGTTAAAGTTTGATCGTGTGTTTTCTGGAAACCAAACTGAATATCAGTGACGGAATAAACAAAGAACCTCAAGCTGGCAAACATGTGGCCAAACAAAGGACTCAAAACGGAAAACAGGGCGACCCATTGCCAAGTTCCTTTGAACGTCCACACGGCGCGAAAAGCTCCTCGTTGTGGAAAATCACCCATGGCAAAATGTTCAAAAGGCAGAGGTTGATTCCCAGGTCCTTCAGCCCTTCAGCTGGATCCAACTGGCAAAGTGAACTTGCTACAATGAAAAATGACTTTCTCCACCAATTTCCCGACTCCAATCCTTCAATTCCTCTGGTCCTCCAGCTTCCCACCATGAATCAAAATAAAGAGAGAGGCTTGTTGCGAGGGCTGGAAAGTTGAGGATTAATCAGGATTAAACTACCATTACATTGCTGCGTAACTCTCAAAGCAAATGTTTTCGATCCACAGCAAGATATTCTAACAGTGCTTTGTGGAGCAGATTCTGGACGAGATTTACATACTCGGTGTTTTCGCCAAAGAAGCGTTGATATTATAGCCAATTGTTTTGGACTTCATATCTTCACTTGAAAGTGTCCATCGAACTTGCCTATAATATAACTGTATAGTCATAGCTATTTGAGCCATGCCAACAGTTCCTCGTTGTTTCTGCACTTTCACGGGCTTAGTTTGCTCAGTTTGCTCGTTGTTTACTCTTGGCGTTGAAGCCTCTGGTTGTCCGCGTTCGTTGGTCCAGTTCAACCCACGCTCCATGAGTCTGAAAATGTCTTTGTTGATGCGTGTTCTTTCTGTTTGTTGGTTGGTTTAAAGGCGGCCGTCCTGAACACATATGCGTGCTATTCTGAAATATTGTTGGGATATGTTGGGATATGATATGCTGATCTATTTTGTGCTTTGTGTGCTTTCCTTCATCAGATATGTTGACATATCCATTTCCACGGGTAAAAGTGCTAGTCGTTCACCCAAAAAACGCAAAATGCTGAGTAGCAGCTACTCTCCACCCGGCGCAACAAGCCTTTCTGAAAGAACAAAACTCATCGACTCCATACCAGTAGAGACGCTCAAACTGGGTGGTACGTGGAGACGGCTTCAATGCTTCAGGTGGTCACTGGAGAGTCGGATCCTGGTACGTTCGTTCTGTTTGATGTGTCCAACTTGGAAACTGGCCAACCCCACCGACGAAAACCCGCTCAAAATTGCAGAAAACTCGATCCAAAAACTCTCCGGATCTCCAACAACTCTCCAGATCTCCAACAACTCTCAAGGAAACAACACATATCACATGCACAGAAAACCTCCGAAAACATGCACTCACCGCACCCGGGACAGGTCCATCCTCCCCCCCCGAGCCCTCGCCCGATCACGCCCGCCGCACCCCGTTCCACAGCGCGTCGCCGGCGTCGGGGCAAGTGGACAACACGGTCGCCACACCGAAACCTCCGGTGGCACGGCTTCGACACGTTGCAGTACGTGGAAGTACGTGGAAGTACGAGTCGCCACCCCCGGATGCTGCACCCTGGTGGAGCCCAGTTTTTGGGGGGGTCCGAACCGACGACCAGGAGAACCCCGGCAGCGACCAGGTCGGCGAAGGGCCCTGGGGGCCCAGGGCGGATCGAAGGGCCGTTGGATCGGCGTTGGGCGTCGTTTCGTGAACGAAGTCGATTTGGGGAGGGTCCTAGGAATCTAAGACCATCTTATGACGCTTTGGGGACCTTATGATCATCTGGCCTAAGACCATCTGTCATCTGGTCTAAGACCATTCAGGTTTTTGCCCAGATCCGAAAAAGAGGCCTAAGCTTATGACTATTGCATGCCATGTTTTGTTGGATAGAGGCTGGCTTATTCTTGTCTAAGCATTTACATCATGATGGATAGAAGCCGCGGGCTTCAACCACTTCATGACTGCTAAAGACAGACAGTAGAGTAGACACACATGCTCCCTTCGGCGACCCACAGGTGTTTCTCATCTGGGTCCACAGGGCCCATAAGAACTCCAGTGGTCGTGAAGAAGAAGAGCCACCGTGACCTGAGCCGGACGGAGTGGGCCAAGAGCAGGACCCCCCAAAAAAAAATAGGCCAAAGAGGTTAAGGCTGAGGGGTAGAAAAAAGTAGACTATAGATCTTTGTGAAATTCCAAAAGCATCTTGGACAAGGACCCCGGAAATCCTTCGCGTCACTGCACTGGCATGCGATGAAATCGGTGGTGCGTGCCAGCTTTTGTGCCTTCGTGGAGCGACTGTGCAAGGTTCATGCAGGAGCCCGAATTCAGCGTTCGCGTGAGCAGAGTGACCGACCATCTTGGAAAGGCATACAAAAAAGAACAAACCATGCACACCCAGATCCTCCAAACAGCCCTTGATCCCTCAAAGCCTAGGGATTTGAGACCCCAGACCCCTCCAGGGGATTCAGGTCCGATCCCTCCATATGAGGCTCCAGGGTCGCATCTGAGCAGTACCTTCTTTGTGGTGAACTGGGTGGTGTCTGATGGTGTGGGCTTCAACCCTTTCGGGCCCTTTGAGAGTCGTGTTGTTGTTGACCTCGGATCATGTCATCGCTCTCCAACCTGTTCGGGTTCCGCCGCATGAAATTGGCGGCCAAAACAGGAACTTCAGGTTCACCGTCTCTTCTCGTGAGCTTTACAGGGATCCAAATCAACTTCAAGTCGGCTTGCATTGAACCAAAATAAGATGCTTAAATGATATCAGGTCGGCTAGAGTGGTGCACCTGAAGATCGTGGGGAACACTACTGTAATGTCCACTAATTGAAGAATGTCCCTGCACAAGTCCCCAAAATGAAGAGCAGCCCTGCGCCGGCTGTGTGTCTAAATCGTACCATCTCAGCCGACAGCGAGGATCGACCAGCGGCTCCCAGCTTTTTGAGTGGGCTTCGTGAGAACTCATGTGAAACACCATCATGAGCTACAAAGTCCTTGACAGTCATGTTCTTTCATGGAAGACTGAGATATATTTTGCCAGTAATTAAGACAGGTTGGCCTCATTATGTCGCATTCAAGTCCCTTCTCTCGAGGCCCCCAAACCCAAAGCTGAGGCCAATGGCCAATGTATATTGACAAAAATTGAAATACTGACTTTGCTTTTACGGTAGATCAGAACTAAGGGATGATAATGCCTCTGACCTTCCCCTTCCGTTCCTTGCTCTTGTTCAGGACCTGGTCATGCAGTTTCCAGGCCATCCTTGTCACTTCCATCTGCCTGGGCCACCTTTCAGTCGCTTTCAGGAAGTCGCCTGTCTTGCTGTCTTGCATCTTCTTCACTCGGGCCTCCTTCACATCAAACACCACCGTGCTACTGTAGACACTGGTCATCACGGCCGGATGCTCGCGCAGGTCCAAGAGGTTGGCCGTAAAAACGCACATCAACCCGCCTTCATAGCCGATGATGTCCGGAATGACATCACAGCCGTGGCGGTCAATGTTGGTTGACTTGCAAAGGGATGCCACGCCTTGGGCATACCAGAAGCCGCCCTTCTGCTCCGGGTTGCTGGGCATGCGCGGACGCACGAGATCGATCAAGGAGCGTGGATCTTGCAGCAGGGGTTTCCCCATGGCATCTTTGGAGAAGTTGAACAGCGTGTAGTAGAAGAGCTGCTCATCCGCCGCTGTCGAAAGCACGCCACCGCAACCATTCCCTGTGCCAAGATCGAACTCATCACGACATTCACCGGTGGCATAGATTTCATGGGTCTTGGGGTCGCGGTATTGGTAGTATTCATAGACCCTCTTCCTGCGATCTCCTGCCATGCTCAGTTGGTAGTCATAGGGGTCGTACTCCGTCGAGCTCTGCCCCACCACACTGATGATGTGCTTCTGCAAATACTCCCTGAGCGACTTTCCAGAGAGCCTCTCCACGAAATACCCTGCGAGAACGAAGGCACTATTGCTGTAATAGTACTCCGTGCCCGGAACAAAGAGCAAGTCTTGGTTGATAAAGAGCTTCACCGTCAGACCGATGGAGCCCGCATAGGGCAGGAAATAGTCGCGGAAGGGAGCGTTGGGGATACCCGAGGACATCGCAAGCAGGTCCACAAAGCGTACCACCTGGGGCTTTCTTGTGACTCGTAGGTTTCCCTAGTTTTGGAGTGCCAACCATCTCAAAGTATGGCCCTTTTAGAATATTGAGCGAATAGATGTCCCTTAATTAATTCTTCAGGACTAACGCAAAAAATAGTCTAGCATCTTAACACGAAACACCACTCCTTCGTTCTCTGCATCTTGTTCGTTTTTAGCCCATCTGGTTCTGCCAGAATCGGAGACCAGCGGAAGCGGAGGCAAAGGGTTTTCCCTACGACCAGCAGAGGGACATCGTTTCAAAGAAGTACGGTACTTACTACGGTATATAATTTGTGCTCTTCCAAGATGTCTGCGATGGTCCACCTGACACTTTGAAGATCCTGGAGCTTTGGGACAATACTTGCTTGTTCCCTTCATCCCGAAGCTCTCAAAGTCTCTGGCGTTCAAATAGTCGGCGATGGAGGCATTGAGATCCACTTTTCCGGCCTCCTGCAGTTGATACAAAGCCACGGCCACGTAGAGCTTCGTGTTGGAGGCCACCGGGAAAATGGCATCAGCCGGCATGGGGTCTTTGTAAGGGATGTTCAAGAAGCCATACCTGGGACGGCTGAATCCAGAATTTTGAGTAAAGGATCTCAACCCAAACAAATAAGATGCAAACCCAGGTTGGATCCTTATCATGTGTCAACCAATACGCAATGCCATACAGCCGGGTTTTTACTGTGATTGGATACAAATGGAGGCCTCTTCACCAAATGCCTGGATCCGCAAATTACCCCAGTACTTGCAAGACTGTTTGGGTCCAAGCTCTTTTCCAATTTGACCCATGAAGATGGACAAATCGCAAAACACTTGAATCCAACAGCAGATACTGCTTCTGGAACAGGACCTCGTGCGCAGCATTGGTGACCCGGGCGACACCATTGAAGCCGTCCCAACTGTCAAAGGCTACAGCTGACACAGCGGCCATCCCCGTGAGAACTTCCAGCAATCCCATTCTTCGGCGCCGAAGAGAAGAACCCGTTATATACAGTAGAAACAAACGTCCCTCAAAGCCGGCGAGCCACATCATGTGCGGTTCAGGTTGTCATGTACCGCCCTCTTGACAAATGTGAGACAACAAAATCCTATGTTTGTGTTGAGTTAAACAGAACGAAATCCTACCCAGGACCCCCAAGTGCGTGGTGAATGGAAACCCCTAAGCTCTTGAGCTGCGGGGCTATGATAAAGGGGAGCCCGGGTAGTGGTATAGATGTTGACATGACCAAAGCAGACAACACAACACTGCCTCCAGGATGGCACTTGGAACATCATGCCAGTTCATGAACAAAGAATATCAAGAATCTTTGCCGGACACTGAGGGATCACAATACAACAGGACCTTCTGGCTTTCATCTATCGATCCGTGTTCTTCAAAGATGCGACATGCGGTTTTCTGCTGGTCGTATCTGGTTGTTAAGAAGAGATCATGGCACCATGCAAGCGAGAAGAGGTGAAAACTAAGATCCAATGTCAGTGATGATCAATCTGTTCTTCGGGATACATAATGTGCACCTTGAAGGAAACCATGTTCATCCACATGTCTCCCACCGTCTTCAGGTGTCCAAGGCCCGGTCGTGCCCGTTAGCTTCTGGGCCGTTCGACCGAGGGAAGCGAGGGAGGCACCCATCACAGAACTCACTGAGTAGGAGGATAGTCCCTTCCATGACGAGCGTCCCTGAGGAAAGTGAAGGAGAACATATGAGAACACTCGCTGGCTCGCCCAAAAAAGGAAGGAAGTAACATACCAGGACCCCCAGTCGGGGTGGTCAATGGACACCCCGAATCACTTCTAAGGGGCTATAAATAGACACCCCGACAGGTCCTGGTAGACCACTCCGTGTCCCTTTGTTGTTGAAGAATCCCCCCATTTCGTCCCCATGAGTTCCATCCAACCCGACCAACAGGGGACCCGACCCGCAGGGGACCAGGGGGGAGACCCTCTGGGGCACCACACCAACAGGGGCACTTCCGGGCGATGCTCCCGCACTGCGCCGTCTTGGCCTCAGCGCGGCACCAGTCGATCCGTCGGTGGGGTGATCGTAGTGGAGATTGGAAGAATTTATATAGAAATGGATGAATTTGGTGATGCCATGTGATGCCTATCAGGGGAGGAGAATATGGGAGAATGATCTGAATCGTCAGGGGCTCGGCTGTGGTCATTGGTAGCAGTACAGTCTCCATGGGACTGGTGTGAGAGGTCCCTTGGGTCTCCTTGAGCTGCGGAAAAGAGGCCCGGTCTCTGCAACCTGGGGAGACTTGTGTCGCCCAGGTTGCAATTATATAAGGAGAACCGGTATGCCACAGCTCATCAACCTCCCGCTGCCCCTCTTCCCCGGCTCGGGTGCGGGCGGACATCTTCTTGGCCGAGAGGTCGTCGATGTGCAGCTTCCGCACGTGGCTTAAGGACCGCTTCACGAAGAACATGATGATCCCCTGAGCTGCTTAAGCAGCCGAAGGAGCCGAAGGAGCGCGGGCAGCCGAGCGAAGGGTGGAGTGAGAGAGAGGGAAGAGAAGATCTGAACTGAAAGGACTCTCCGAGGGTGGTAAGCCAGGGATCTATATAAAGTGAAGAAGAACGCAAGGCTCCAAGACTCAGAACATTTCTGTTGGGGTTCACCAATGATGATAGACAAGAACCCTTCAAGGGCTCTCACTATCGCTGACTATCACTGTCTATATTCATCACGAGGTTGTGCTGTCAGCGCATCGGGTCCACCGCCCAACGGAGGGGGTGTGCTTCCAAGCGCGGTGGATTTCAGGGTTCTCACTTAACCATACTTCACCACCGTTGTTTTACTCAGGATTGTTCGATATTGTTTGCACTACGAAACCAGGTCAATCAGGACTTCCAAAGGGGTGCCTATAGGAGGGCAGGGGTGTCCAGTGACTTAAAAACTTTAGATAAAAAAGAAAACATAAGAAAGCAGTCCTTAGAACTGCAGGTCAACCATTTTGGCGCGGCAAAGGTCAGCCCTGATAGCCAAATAGAGAGAAAAAGTAAAATCCTTTCCAAATGTTTTGGAAATCGTTTCCATCTATTTGGGGACCACTATAAAATCAAAGGTGATTGGAAGGCTATTTAGAAGGGTGGATGACCCCCCTTCAATCCGCTCCCTTCACGCTCTCCTCCAAACCGGGTTTTGCAGGTCACCGTGAGCCGTCGTGCGCGACGGCCGCCACTGGGAGCTCCAGACCGTCAGCGAGGCAAAGATGCCCGTAATCTGTCCAGGCCGGATGATGGCTGAATGATCGGCCAATGTGTTGTTGGTGAAGGATTTGGTGTCAACAACACTTTGGTGTCCCAAAACACGACACTTTGGGTGAATGAATCATGCGGTGTTTTGGGGGGTGAAGGTTTTGGTGTCAAAAGGAAGATCGTCTCACACCGAGTGACCTGAAAAGGAAGTTACCTAAAAACGGTCAATGGGTCGAAACGTCTGACTGGGCAGTCTAGGGGGGCTGCTGCCTCCTTTCCCAGGCATGAAACCACACATCCACGCGATGCGACGACTCCACACACGGCGAAGAAAGCGCGCGTGGCACCAGCATCGCAGCAAAGCCGGCGGGGCAAACAGTGGCATACCTGGTGCTGTCTGCGGTGTGAAGCTCTGCACGGTGCTGTCTGCGCCCACCCCCTTTGGTCTCCCAGAAGGCCTGGCGGCCGGAGGCCAAGTAGACCAGGATCGGACGGCTGAAAGTCTGAAGGTCGCCTCTTCATTCCAACTAACACTTAAAAAGAACTCCCGTCAAGATCGTTGCACGAATTCAGACCGTCTTCGATCCGGAACCTTGGAACCCAGCACCAACTCAGTTCATGGATGGCCTTTTGCTATTGGTTGGTTGAAAGTACAGGGGATACCCTGTCAGTGAACAATAGGTATCATTGCGGCACGGGCAGTTGAAGGTCAAGTACAGCGCGATGGTCCTCGGTGTGCCGCGGCCGGAATTCGTTGCGCGCCTAAGAGATGCTCAGATCCGTCACGCCCAAAAAGGTGGTGAATGGACACCAAAATCAGCTCCACCGATGACGAACGGGTGTGGTACCCATACCCCATTCCTGTCTCTGGAGTGCCAGGTACCTTCCACCTGGAAGACCATTCAGAGAGATTGTCGTTGAAGGGCGGATCCGGAGATATCGTCTCTGGAGGTTGGGACCCAAGGAAAAGAGAAAGGTATCAGGTGCTACAGCTGACCCAAGAAAGGCTAGCCTGGAATCTTGTAACATTGATTCTTTTGAGACCTGCATGTACCTATGTAATTCAGTAGGAAAAAAACGTCACCAAAAAGAGGGGGCAAATAAACCCAGTATACAAGTAGGATAGTGTTTGAAGTAATGTTCTGTTTGCAAGGAGTACGTGCACACCCTCCTGGTCGGCCGGGAACATAAGATCACAGCTTCGGGCCCTCTTAAAAAGAAACAACATCAGAAATAAAACTCACACACCTCAATCCTCTCTCTTTTGTATCCCACATTAAGATTTAAAAAACTCGTTTCTCTAAACACAGCTCATTCGCTGGACTCTCGCTTTGTGTATGCTCAACGCAGCTCTCGTTACGACCCGTGGCCCATCACTGGAGGCGGATGCCGGGCGCCACGGGTCATCACTGGATGCCCCGGGCGCGATGATGAAGCAAATGAACTGGCCCCATTTGTAGAACCTGCAGAACTGCGCATGTTGCGCGCGGTGCTGCTGGGCTGCGCTGGGTTGATTCACCAGTGGTGAAAACCCAGGCTTTTTTTTGAGCTGTGCAAGAGGCGGAGGGTTTGGATGGATAATGTCACTAGGTGTTGCAGGAACTTCCTCTGAAATGGCCATGTATCTGAAAGGGCCATGGAATCCCCTCATATCCCCTCCATGCTCCAGATTCAGGATGGCATATTCCTGTCCTTCAACATGCTTGGAACCAGGAAGATCCGTCAAGACCACTACATACAGCCGGGAAGAGCCCCACGAATCGCCCCACATGGACCAGACCGACCTTTGCAAATGCGGGCTTCAGACCTCCACTGTGTGCAGTGTTTTCGGGTCAACGTCAGGTCTACAGGGCGTAACACCTTCGGATTCCGCGCCACACCGGGCGCCTTCCCGGAGGCCGAGGCCTTGGTCGGTCGCTCCTGAGGTCACCACTTGAGGATGTCGCACGCCATGGCGGCGTGAGCTTTCACACGGACGGAAAAGCGTGTTTCTGCACGGCTAAGATCCAGATCGTGGATCCAGGGATTGAAGTGATGATTTTTGTGGCCAATTGGCCAATTCCCTGTAGCTGGATGAGTATCCGATCTGTGGTAGAGGTGACTGTTGCGATGGGTCTTAGCCTGGTGATTCGTCTGGGGTCAATTCCCAAAAGTCCAATAGATGTGTTTGCCTTTAGAAACTACTAAGTTACTACTGACATTCACATCATGCTTGGCAAAACAGCGCACAAGAAAAGCAGGCAAAGAATAGTGAAAAATGCTAGTGCTTGCAAGCATGCTAGAACTATGCTTGAACATCATAACCTTCTGACAAAAGGAACAGAGTGCAACAATTTGCACTAGGGTGGTGTAAGGAATGGGTCACGTTGCTGCTTGGGAAATTCTTACCTTTCAAACCGCACATCGATGTGGAACGAACGATCCATTGCTCCTTTTGTTGGCCGGCTTGGCGCTTTGGCACTTGTCTGATGGTTCCTTGTTGGTGTTGCATCACAACATCCTAGCCACCTCATTAAATGGTTTAGCATCAAAACTAGTATCAAGGCCAAAGCCTGTCGAAATTCTGACATTGCTTAAGTTACGGCTGGAGCTTCTGAGTTTTCTGAATGCTCAGGATAGTAGTACAGCTGGAAGATCGGGCTCAATTTCAGCACGCGCGTGAGGGATTGCAAGATGTCTTCTTCTCTTTCACACCAGGTGGCTCTTTAAAAAAAAGTAAACTAATGAATAAAACAAAAACAATAAACTATAATATTGATATATATTGATATATAATGTGAGCTTCAAGTTCATTCAATCTCACCATGGAGCTTCGATCACATCGCCGTGTCACCACCAGGAATGAGTGACACAGACTCACTCAGTTTCCTAGGAAAAATAGAGGCTAACCATGGTTTAACATCGTTCCATCTCATGTTTAGATCTGTTGAGTGGCGAAAAGTTTAAAAAAAAAAAAAAACACCCCAATCCAAGAGCTTCAAATTGCAGGTGATCCAAGCACCGAGCTTCTCATGGGTGGGACAAGATTACAATCCCTCGTTGACCTGTGTGTTGGTCTCCGCCGCCCCAGCCGCCCCTCATCATTCACGCGACGTTTCCTGGTCGGGACGCTCAGGAACGGCCGTAGGGTCGAGCTAGCTATGGCTTGAGTGGTCGAAGTGCCATAGGGTTGGGGGTGAAACGACGCACCAAATGAAACAACAAAACATACCTGGACCATCCGACCATCTGGGGTGTCTGGGTGTCCTGGCTGGACTTCCCTATTTGGAAATGTCCAGACAGGACACCCAGATGGTCGGATGGTCCAAGTAAAAAACAGTTTAACTGGCATGACGTTGAGAGGAGCGAGGAGCCATGCGTTTTGGCAGAACCGGGATACCAATGCCTCAAAAGCATGGACCAATCCCCCAAAACGAGACATGTGAAGCTGGTTTTCACCATTGCCCAGGCCATCACAATCCACCAACGAAAGGGAGACTGCCAATCTGATAATGACTCAGTGAAGTACGACCCAACGGTCATCGTACTTGATGGCACCTGAGAAGTCGTGCCGGTCCACCCCCGGGGCGTCCGGGCAAGGCCGACGACCGAGGTCGTCAGGTCGTTTCGACCGGTCTATACTTAACCATAAACCGATGAGGTCAGGAGAGCGAAAAAAGGACTCAGAGGGTCATCACTGAAATCATCACTGAAATCATCACTCCTCACCAGTCTCGGTTGCTTCTTGGATTCACCTCCACACGCGCGCCACAGGCGGTCCGTCCTCCTCACTGGTCAAAGAAGGGCGCATGCACCATGCCGGACTGCAGGCCGGCATCGATGAAGCCTGGAGGATAGGTCTCTTTCCATCACCATCATGTATGGATATGCTACCAGGATCCTCCAAGGGGTGCCCTGTCGGGAAGCCTATAGGTAGTGTGGGGTAGTTCATTGGACGACGGGCAGAGGCTACGTGTGGCACATGTGGAAGAAACTTCAACAGAAACCATCCCCAGATCTTGCTCTACTCACTCTACCCTGTTTTGCAAGAACAGAAAACGATCCCCGGATTTGGATTTGGATCTTCACTGCTTCCCTTCCTCCAAGCGTCCCCGCTTTCATCTCCGTCGCCACATCGACCATCATCGACCCATCGTGCCGCACGACCACCCGCGCGCGTACCACGTCGGGCAGGGATGGGGATGTCACGGGCCTGGACGGAACATCATCTCCATCTGCCATGCCTGGTCGGCGGAGTGCTCACTGGCTCGCGCGAAGCGTCATATCGCGTCGCGTCGCGCGGGGCAGATCGCGACGCATCGCGGCGTGCGGCTGGCGGTTTCACCCCCCCTCGAGCCGTTTCCGGTTGACCCAACTATTGACCTGAAGCAGCTGGCAGCTGATCCACCGTCATGACTTCCAGAGGTTTTGCAACGAGGCAACGACGAAGACGACTGGAAGCTGAAATGGGGACGAAAGCGGGGAGTCTGCTTTGGAAACTGCTTTGGAAATGTCTGAGTTGTTCACCAACCATCACATTTGTATGAGTATGGTCATGAGAACCTTCCAAAATACCACCCTGGAAATTCGAATGAGTTCAGACATGCTCAGAGGAGCACCTGATGTCACCGACCAATACCATAGACCGCCACCGACAACTTCCACCAACAACGGCCACCATCAACTTCCAGGGAGCACCATGTGTTGACCAACCGGTATCCATTTTCGCAACAACCTCCAGGAATCAGGCCGATTGGGATAGGTTGTTGCTCCCTGTCTATTCACATAGGCAACTTCCTATTGGCATAGATCTGACATACCTGGATCCGACATACCTGCGCGGAAAAGGTCTGCCTTGTTATCATGTATAATAAAGCCAGCCAAGGTTGGCAAAGATTGTGTTGCGGAGTTCCAAGATCTACCCTCTGACTCACACAATCATGGAAGTGGACGGCATGGCCCCTGGGTTTTCCTCTACCAAAACAGGGTGGTTTGACCATTGTCCTTTACAACACATTGGTGTTCACTCCCTAAATGTCCATCTCAATGGAATGCTTTCTACTCCAACGAAAAATAGTCGAACGAAAAATAGTCGGGGAAAACAGAAAAACAAAAACAAATAACACTCCGTTTCTATCCGTTTCTCCTGTTTCTGCCCGCTTTTGTTGGGGCTCCGGTCTCTCCGGAGTCTCTCCCGCTCCGGTCCCCCCGCTGTCGGCCTCGGTCTCGGGGAGCTGATTCACCGACACCGCCGCCGGCGTGGAGCCCCAGACGCGCCAGGGCATGTCGCACTGAGCCGCCGCCGGCGGTGGAGAGGCGACGTGGAGAGAGAGAGAGAGCCCGCCCGGAGAGCGAGCGGTTCGGACAGCGGAGGAGATCGGTCGATGTAAAAGGAGTGATGTGTCCAAAGATTTGGATGATTGGATTGATGATTCATGATGGATGAGGAAACAAAGCGAACGTTCTATATATACAAAGGGAGTGGTGATTGATGTTTCATGGTATATGCCAATCATCATATGCCAATCATACTGATCATACATGTGGGTCGTCTGATGTTCTTCAGGATCTTTGCTGATGTCTGTGCCAAATGTATCCAAATGTATTCAAAGTGTATCTAAATGTCCTATGTGGGCGAGTAGACCTTGATCTTCCAGGTGCACTAGTGGCTGGACGGGGATGATCCATCGATGCTAGCGCCATCTTGGGCCCCCGGCCACTTTGAACTGAGGGCCGAAACCCATACCTGCCGGCACGCGCGTGATGGCGGGGTAAAGCGGAACACCTCGCGGTTCACTCAGCCGCTCGCTCACTCGGTGAGCTCAGAGCCCCAAAACCGTTCTTTCAGACCCTCGACTGGCGAAGAAGCGACCGGGGCGCCTGAGAGTCGGTGTGCCAAGTAGAAGTCCAAGTGCCGGATCTCCTGCGTCACGTCCCGTGGACCCGCGGGCTGCGAAAACGAGTCCACACACACACACACATGTTTGGAGCATTTCAGGCCGCTAGCCCTGTAGCCCCAAACATCTGCTCAACAGCGTAGGCCCAATCTATAGAATATAGTGCTCAAAGACCCTCCAATCCCGACCAACACCGGCTGGTCGGGCCGAGTCGGGCCTTGCCACTCTGCTTCTGGGTGTATGGCTTCTCGATGTTCCAGCCCAGCTCCTCCCTGCGCGAAGCGCCGACGTCGAAGCGCCGGCTTCGCAGAAGGCTCCCAAATCAGCAGTCGAGCCGGGGCCGGGGCGGAAGCATGTCTAGATAGAGGATGCCATCCATCTCATTTGGATCACCGGAAAGCTGCCATCAATGTTTCACCGCCTCTTCTGGAACCTCCACGCCTGCCCCACACCGCCTCCGCCCCCACTCCGCCTCCGCCCTGCCGTCAGCTCCTCCCCTCCTTCCGAAGACCATGCACCTCCACCGATCACGCAATCACCCAACGCACCCAAAGCCTGACAACCAAGAGAGGTAGCCACTGACCTTCTAGGACCGTAACCTGCGGTACCCAACTGGGATAGTCTAGTTCAGGCCCTTCAACTGTTGGAACAGCCTGCGTTAGGGGGTGAAATCCCGATGAACTTCACCACGCACGCCGCGTCGGCGGCGCGGCCGAAACGCGCGAGTTCGCGTCTCCACGGGCACCTGAGGAACTTCACCGAGTCGGGATCTCGGCTGATGAGCGGCACCACATGATCCGCGATGTCCTCCGAGAAGTGCGGCACGGCCCGGGGCGGATCCGGGCCAGTGAACAAGAAGCAAAGGCGCCTGATTTTGGGGACCGGCTGGGGCAGATGGACGTGCTACGTAAACGAAGCAGATTGCAGACATTGCCAATGAGCTGGCTAAACGGCATGCACTATGGAAAGATGCTCGTGTCTGCAACGGCTCTGCTATCCTTCCATGTTCAGAACAGGGTTGTCCTTGCCCTATGCTGCATGCGCGGTTGAAAAATCTGTGATGGTAGCAGCTGATTGGGGATTCGGATGCCAATTGGGCAAACTGGGGAGTTTCTCCCAAGTCCTAAATCCCCAGGCACAGGAACATGAACTTGACCAGCACAACAGCAGACACAAGCAAGAAAAGAATCGACCACACACAGGCAGAAGAAGAAAAAGAAGAAGACTCTCCAGCCAGTGCTGTCCGCCACGCGCACGTGCGCGCACGTGCGCGGCCTTGTTGGTCACCAAGTTGCCATAGGAGTTCAGCATCCGCTCCGAGTCCTGTCGCCGGGCCCCACCGAGGTCAGAGAGGGCAGACACCGCCTATACCCGAGACCCATTGGGTTTTGGCCGTTTTGGGGTGATTTTTTTTGGACATGTATGTGTTGACATCTTTTGACATGGCTTTTGGTGGGGCTTTCTGGTCCGTTCTTCCCCACTGAAATCAGACCATCAGCCGTGGTCGTCTTGGCTTTTCCAAACATCCACCAACTTGCCCCTCTCGCACCCTCCCTCGCAGCTTCCGGAGGACCCTCCCTGTCGTCTGGACCAAAACCCTCCCTCGCAGCTCCCAACAAATGGCGCACCTTGGCTGCAGCCCCATCACGCAGCTTCACTGCAGAGATCAAGGCCTCCACCCGCCCACGACCACGACCGGTCCAAGGTAAGCACAACGGAGCTTGGATCAATTGGATCAATGCAAAACGGAGGTTGGAGGGTTTTGCTTGGCTAACCAGATCAACAACAACCCCAAAAAAACAGAAGCAAGAGTTCCAAAAGGGATCAAAAAGGGAAAGAACCGAAAGAGCTCACCAAGTTCCTTTCTGGTCCCAGGTGGGGTCCCAGTCCCTGTCATTGCAAGCGGGCAGCCTCTAGTGCTTGGAGCGCCTGCGGTCTCTGAGGCGCTTGGTCGTTCAAGCCTGTGGTCGAAAGCACGGCTGGTCGCGAGACACGTCGCACACGTCGCGGGTAGCGGCTTCAGGCGGCTTCATGCGGGTTATCAGGTGACCTCAGCGTGGATGAGAGACATAGACCTGTCTAACCCTTACGAGGCCAGGGTGGGGTAGAACGAAGCTACAGACCCATGGAAACCACCGGCGCAGCAGCAAGTGGCAGGTCGGCACCTCGTTCGGCCAGCACGCGGCTGAGCACGCGGGCGGCCTGGGCAACAGACTTGGAATGTTCATGATCCACCTGGGCTCTTCTCAACCCAAACTGACACCACTCTGGCTAAAAAGAAAAGGAAACAACAAAAACAAGAAAAATCGAGTGAGTACAGTTTTCTAAGGGGTCCTTATCAACAATTCGTCTTGAACTTGGCTCTTCACCCCCCAACTGTGTCACTCTACACCTCCTCCCTTCCCTCTCCCCAGCTCTACTTCACACCTCTTCCTCATGTCGCGCATGGCTCGTCTTCCTCGCCAGTGCCAGCGCGCGCTCTGCTGTCTCGGTGGCGTCGATCATTTCGCCCAAGTTCCGCTGCTGGTCCGCGGCCAGCAGCAGCGCGCTGGTCTCTCCCACCTCGTCCTGGATGGAGCGCGTAGAGGGGGCGAGAAGGGTGGCAGGTGGAGAGCAAAGGGAGGCGAGGTCCGGACAGAGCATGGCGAAGCAAGACCCGAACTTGGTGGGCTGAAAGGGCAGGAGGAGGGGGCACGGAGATAGAGGATGGTTGGGCGGTTGGATGTTGGACAGGTTTTGAACAAATTCTTGGCAAATGTATATATCTAGGAAGCAGGTGGACCAACTGGTTTTCTAGGAATGTTGATTTTTTTAATATATCTCAATACAATGTGTTACCAATAAATAAAAACACTATCTCTTGAGCCGCAGAGGAAAAGGCTCGGAGTGATGTGGCAAAGCAGCAAAGTGCCAGGTTAGGTTGGAGAAACATCTGTTAGCCCCACTCTGACACATCAAAGCCTCACCCCAGCTCCCTACCCATCATCTTCCACACCACTCCCAAAAATATCACATCAAAGCACCAAAGCCCAAGGTACCATACCCATCCATCACCTATAGCCTATACCTAACCCACCACCTTTCCATCCTCCAGCACCTGTCCACCGCCCTCCCCGCAGCTCCACCGCCCTTTCCGCCTGGATCTCCTTCCGCAGCTCGGCCGCCAGCAGCGCGTTCCGCACCGCGCCTAGCGGCTCGGACAGCGCGCCGTGCGTCCGCGCGATGGCCTCCAGGATCTCGGCCTCCGCCTCGCTAGCGAGGCAGGCGGTCGCGGTGACCACAGGCCGTGGAAAGAGAATTGGAGTGGAAAAGAAGGGTTTGATGGACCAAAGAACAAAGACACGTCGTGGATTTTAAGTTTCTGTATAGATTGAACATCCATGAAGAAGCCATTGCCTTGAAGCGGCGATCGGCCACTTAATAAGCACGGCGCTCCAGGCTTCATGCCAAGGATTGGAGGTGGTCACGGTCTGATACAGTTGTCTCCTTCCCGTTTTGGTTCGACCTAAAAACAACGACCCAAAACCCACTCACGCGACAGAAACGGTCACCAAGCCCCTTGAAAACCAGCACTCCCGAGCACTCCCATCCTCCTCTCCCTACCTACATCTTCCCACCTGGCTGAAGCCTCGGGTGGCTTCTCCATCTCCCTTGTTCTCTCGCAGCAGCTGCAGCTCACGGTTGGCCGCTTGCAGGCCGATCATGGGCTCCATCAGCTGCCGTCGCGCCTCGAGCTCCACGTCCAGCGCGCCGGTCAAGCGGTGCAGGAAACCCAAGGAGCGGAAGACACCCATGGCCTCGGTGTGGGAGGAAGGGAGGCCTCGGTGTGGGATGGAAAAAGAAAACAAGGGATGGATGAGGTTATACCAAATTGGCAGTATGAGGGATTGGAAGGGATTGGCAATGTATGAGGTTTATACAAAATATATGAGAGTCCATGAAGGGATGGATGGCGTTTTGGTGTTTTGGCGGGAAGTGGGAGGATCTATACCAAATATATGACGTCATAGAGCTATTTCACCTTGCTGGAAAGAAAGATCCGATGTAGGTGATTTGTTGTATAAGGTGCATTTCCTGAACGTTTGACTCGGCAAGACGGCCGATTGAGGGAGGTGTTGAAGTACTTGAAGATGGTCTTGAGGCGTGATCAATAGCGGATCGCTCAGTTTCAGGTTGCATCTGTCCAAAAGATGTCTCCATGTTTGGAGGCTTTTGGAACCCCGTGCATGTGATGGGTTTGAGGGATTCAAGGGTCAAACAAAGTTGTTTTACTCTTATGACATGGTTTCTTTTCAGTCAACATATCTTTAAAGGTGACACTGAGATTCGTGGACAAAATGGACATCAAATGCCAAACTAAATGGTCATCAAGAGACTTGCTTCCCATTGGTCGAAACCGGTCCATGACCTCTTCCCTTCTGCCTCCTGCCCTGCCTCCGTGGCCAAGGAGATGCTCTGCCGCAGCCGCCCCAGCCGCACGCACGCACTCGCCGCCTCCACCTGCGCCGAGCCCACGCCCCGCCGCAGCTCCGCCGCGGCGTCCACGCCGGCGCCCGCGGCGCCCCGGTAGAGCTCGGCCGAGCGCTCGGAAGCCTGGAGCGTTTCCTCCGCGGTGGAGGCGGTGGCACTCGAGCCGGTCATCATCTCCCGGTGACGATGGACCTGGACGGAAAAGAAGAAGAGAAGGTGAGTGGGATGAGTCGGATGAAGGACTGTCTGCCTCCGCCGCGCCTCAGCAATCCGGAGCCAGGCACCGGCCTCGGCGCCCTTGTCCTGGCGCCGCTGGGCAGCGGCCAGGAGCTCCATGGCCGCGCGCATGGCCTCGTCCAGGGCGCCCCGCGCCAGCTGAACGGTCACCTCTGCAGGAGCTGAATGGTCCGCGCTGTTCGGCCACGAACTCAAGGGATGGGGTGGATGAGAAAAAGGGATGGGGTCAATGTGGGAGTGGAGATGGAGGGTGTTTGGGGGTGAGTTTCGTGTGGGTTGACTGCTTTTGAAGGGTGGAATGTGGGTGTAGCAGTGGAAATGGACTGAAACAAGTTGGGGAAATGCAGAGAAGGGGATGGGGAAGTCTAGCCAGAAGCTCTATCATGATTGGAGCTTCAACATTCTCACCTCAGACCTGCCGCGAAGGAAGAATAGAATGGACCCTGAACTGGCAATCCAACAGTCTAGCCATCTTCTGGAACTCTCTATCCATTCATCAATTTATACAACCCTCAAAGCCATCTCAAAAGCCATCCAGTCAGCTCTCTTGATGCCGCCAAGAGCAGGCGTTCACCTACAGCCAAACAACAAGGCCAAACCAAAAGCTGGAAAAAAAATAACGCATCCGGAAAAAGGATCTAAAAAATGGATGGATTCCTAAACAAAGCCACGTATAAAATTTATGTGTCATCCACGGCTTCACCAAAAAGCCCTATTTCATCCCCTTCCAGAGTTCCACACCGCACCCACTTCTTATCTTCCCTTGTTTTCCCTTTGGCCCCACCTGAATGCTCAAGGTCAATCGATGCAGCTTCCCCTCGGCGGCTGGCAGCTCCGCGGCTAAGGACCTCAAGTCCTCCGCCAAAGCCGTGGATGTCCCGAGCCCCGGGACTTCGGCTGGTGACCCAGGGGAACATCAGAGGACGCCACTCGAACGGGGCCGGACCCTTGGCCGACTCGAACGGAACAAGGTTCGCGACTCGAACGGAGCAGGGATGCTATTCGTAAGCTCCTGGCCTTATGAAGAACATGATGGAAAGATGTCGGAAAGGCCTTCAGAGCTGTTCTTTACGGAGTTAGCGGTGGAAAAGAGTTGGAAGATCGCAAGTGTGCCACCGTGAATCGTTTGTATCCCATCGGACCAACTGGCCCAACCTCTTCCTTTTCATCGAACCCATTTTGTTTCAAAACCAAAGAAGTCTCCAATCAGCCAACAGGCTTTTCAAATACCCAAGTCCAACGGTTCCACACTGTACCGAGCCCCCAACACCCAGAAAAGAAAAACCTCTGGCTTCCCACACAGCTGACATGGTGCTAAGTGTATGGATCCCAAAGAAGAACTGACATGGGGAGCTCTTTCCCTCGTTCCCTTCGAAGCAGTCGCACCAGTCAGAAACTTAGAACCAACGAAAACACTTGTTCCACGCCTGCTACGATCTGCTACGCCCGTCCCAATAGGCCTTGGCTTCTTCTATTGCATCGCTCAGTCGGCTCTCGCCCAAGCTCAAGGAGATCTCGGCCAACTTCACCGCCGCCTTCCACGGCATCTCTTGGCTGCGCGCCTTCTCGGAGGCCTCCCGCACCTGTCGAGTCGAGTCTGTTTTGGGGGTTCATGCGGATTGGTTTCTGACAGAGGTCATGTATGGGCATGTCATTGATCCTAGAAGGTGTAAGTCTTGACCAAAGGTCTAAGACTCGGTGGCTCCACATGAGCCCTAGAATCTGCCGAGTGACCAAATCACCAGCTGGAGCACCTAAGCGCTTCTTTGCACGCACCTGGGCACGGCGGTCTGCGGCCAATTCCCGCAAAGGACAAACATCGGTGGACACCGACCGAACGCACCGAACGCACGGTGCGAAGGTCTTGTTCGAGGTGATCGAAGGGTTCAATGTTGTTCACTTGGAGGTGCACAAATGTTTTTTCCATGGGATTCCATGGGTCCTCCATGGGTCCTTTGAGTCCTTTGATCGTCTGGCACCGGATTTCACGGCCCCGACCACGGTCCCTCACCGGGTCTCTTCAGTCGCCCAAGGTCTCGACCAGCAGGTGCAAAGCGACTGGTGGACGACCTGCATTGTGGGACTCTGCAAGTGCATCTTCAGCACTCCTGGCGCACCACGAGACAGCGTGGCGTTGTTTTTGGACGGGACACGGGCGAGACAGGTGGGCGGAGGCTGAACAGGTCAAGTTGGACGTGAGTTCCATCCTGGGTTTGCGGAATAATCATCTTGAATGATCAAGTGCGAGGGTTTCCACACAATGGGGCAGTCCAGGATTTGTGGTCAACTTTGGGTGCGTTTGGCCAAAGCGGTGCCACCCAAAAGGTACCTGTGGCGCAAAGAAGGAACGAAGCACACCTGTTGAGACCGAGGTTGTGTATTTCGGGTACGGTGCCCATGTTCTCTCAGAAATTGAGTCAGTCGAAGGAGGAAGAGTCCAGTAGAGAAAGACATACAATTGTTGTTTATCTAATTGAGTCACCGAAGATCAAACGCCTCCTTTTTTGTAGCCGTCCCCAACAAAAGAACCATGTTACAGCCCGTCTTTTTGTGACCTAAGACTCCACCCCAAAGTTTGTTTCAGGCTGAGGATCCGCAGAAGCACTGAAAATAGCTTTTAAAGGTGTTTTGGGGTGGTAAATCCAAGAGTTTCCCTTTCTTGGAACCAGTTCCACGCCTTCTCCCAACCATTTCCGGAATAAAACGTGCAGAGCAAACGGTGTGGAGAGACCTACACCGGTGCCTCACGCAGAGTTGAAGGTCTCCATTGTCCAAGTGCTTTTCCGCTTCGTCATAGGTCTCCATGGTCTCAGCCGAAGACACTTCGGGCTTTCCATCGATGGCGGTGGTTGATGGGCTGATGGTCGGCAAGCAAAAGAAAGGAAAGGATGGGGTAAAGTGAGTGTATCTGTGTATTTGTTCTAACACCTGCAAGGAAACCAAGGTGGCCCCACTCACCTACGACCTTGCAAGCGAACAAAAGCATGCATAATGCTCAAATACTTTCTCGACCCTAGGATACCTAGGATACCCCGGGATACCCAAAAGGGCCCTATAGGGCCCTAGGGGTCAACTCAGGGATCCACCCTGAAACACACACCAACCATCACCGACCACCCCAACGCTTCACAGACTCGACCCCAACCATCCCCGTGGCGCGTCACCCCCTTCCGGGCCTGGTGTCCAAACCGGCACCCGAGTGAAGCTGCGAGCCCACACGGTGGTTGCGGACGCGGTGGAAGCAGCGCGGCCGGACGGGTTGGGGGGGAGTGTTTACCAGTGACTCGTTTTCTGAGGAACAGAAGTGAAAGAGGAATATGGGAAGAGTCCAAGTGATCATGGAGCTGGAGCTCGTGATCTCATCTTCCACGAGTGGAGGACTATGGCACCGTCCCGACCAGTGGACCTACCGACGGAGGTCGGACTCGGTCGGGCTCTGGGTGCTATGATCGTGGAAGATCCATCTCACCTGGTCTGTTCATCTCACCTGGTGTGTTACGCCCATGAACGGAGGAACAAGGACAAAAAAGCAGAAAGCGTTGGCCTCAGGCTGGACTTCTAGCAGACACATGCAGATACAAGTGGACTCGCAAAAAGACAAGACACTTCAAAGGTTGAAACAAGTGGGGGCAACCTTTGGGGAGTGTTGGCCAACATCATCCAGCATTCCATCTTTTCTCTGCTAAGCCTTTAGACCGGCTCACTAGAGACTTCGGCTCACTCCGGCCAGCCCCAAGACTTTTGGTTCGATACTCCTCCAGGGTTGCAAAGAATGCATGTTTAAATGCCCCCCAAAAAACCATGCAGCAGCACCCATCCACCCCAACCCTCCACCGAAATCGCAAGAGGATCCGTATACCGGTCAAGAAAAACGCTCGTCGGAACCCGAACAGAAGCCGTGGTTCATCTCGTTCGCCGATGAAAAGACCTTTTTGGCCCCTGGAACCCGCGTCGCGTCGGCGTCTCTCTTCCCGGGCAACGAGTTACCCGGGCAGCGAGGACGGCCGGGTTTAAGCTCGAAGATGAAAAAATGTTGCACTGGGATCCAAGTGTAAGCAAGAAGAAATCACTGGTTTAACAAAACGGATGTTTGCAAAGCCAATCTAGTAGCACCTTTGCAGCATCTGTCTACTTACAGCATCCGCTCAACATGTCTTACTATGTCTTACCTTTTCACCAAACTAAGAAGAACTCGTCAGGACCCACTTCTCTTGAACCCTGGGACTCAGGGACTTGACATCACATCATCTATCAAACCTCCCACCCCTTCATGGTCGAAGATCAAAAGGTCCGCCATGCCAGGACCCACTTCTTCAAGGATGGTCAGTCCACATGGAAAATTTACTGGAATGCCTTCATCTTCCCACTCGCGAACTCGCACTGGAGAATCCCCTTCCTTTACAAGGCCCAAATTGGACCCCAATTGCAACTAGTCATTCTCGTCGCTCCCGCTGAGCTCGCGGGAACCGCGGGAACCACGTCCTCACGCCGCTGCATTCAGGGCTCTCGCCACCTCCTGAGCCGACGAGAGGGGCGGTGAGAGGCCAGAACCACATCACCTGAAGCTCACATGACCTCAACTCCCCAAGCTAATTCAATCTATTGGATCATCTACCACAAATATCGAAATTCGTGGCGCCGACATGCTGACACATCGGACTGCCACCCAGATCCACCAACTAGAAGTATACAAGATCCTCGAACTGAAACATTCCTCTTCCAACCTTCAACATCGCACTGCCACCTTTCGTGGCCAGACACGCGACCTTCCACCTCCGATGCCGTTCGCCTTTCGCCGCCCGACGTTCGAACCCGACGTTCGAAGGCGACGAAAACGTATTCCGGCACCTCGGCCTGCTCCACGGTGTAGCCCACGATGCCGCCCTGGGAGCGCACCATCTCAATCACCGAGGCCTCCGCGGTCCGTCCGTCCGTCCGTCCGCGCCACCGGCGTTCGTTCTCGCCGAGCCGCACGGAGGGGCGCCAGGCGCACCGGGCACGGAGGGGCGAAGGGCCGTGGCCGTGGCTCAAGGAGGTGAAAGGCCGGTGATGAAGAAAATGATTCGTCCCTAAGGTCCAGGCATTCATGGTTCCGAGTCCTCTGAATTGTTTGGAACAATCGGATGGATATGTGCCCTGTCCAACCTTCCAGAAGTGAGGCCTTTACGCACCAAAAGGGGTTGAGCTATCACATGGCCACGCAAAAACCCATGTGCATTCTGCTTCTCAACTGTCTTATTCATGGAAGGACTTAAGAAAGCTGACTTCTTCACAGGCAGCCACCCACTGCACCCCACCTGCAAATCCTTCAAAACCGCCCGAGTCCAAGCAAGGACCTTATCGGGCCCTGGGTCTCTAACGCTGGGCGTCGCGCCTTGAACTTTGGGATGTAGCTGGCCGTGGCATCCTGGCGTCGCTGGCGGCTTCGCGAAGGGTTGTTCAACACACCACGTATACGGCCTATGGGCCTGCTGTATGGGCCAATTGGAAGGTTCGATTCGAATTACATCCCAAACGCTCTATGGACCCTCACAGGGAGGGGTCTGGGGTCGAACCAATCCGGTTTTGAGGGACCAAGGGCCCAATTGTCTTCAGATTGACAACTCTAAACTACAGATTGACAAGGTTTTCAGTTCGGGCCCAAACCCTCAAGCCTCCTTCCACACGTCGAGAGGTCGGGTCTTCCAAAAAGAAGATCGTCTTCGGGTCATGAAGCACCGTCCCAAAACGGGGGAGTGTCCGGAAGTCACTCCACGCGGCTCCTCCCCGAAACAACCCCTCCGGTCCCCGCGAACCGCGAACCGCTCCCATCCTGCACCGTTTTGGGGTGGTCGGGCCCCAAGGTGCCTCCACCAGGACGCATTCATATCCGCGGTCGTTGGCCTCGCGCATCGTCGTTTGCACACAGACCTGACCGGTGACCGGTCCGTGGACGGGGCCGGATGGAGCGAAGGGGTCCCGATGGCCAAGTGGTGAAATCGACAGATCAGCTGGAAGTCAAGACCCTTGAGGATCTTGGACACGGTGGAGTCTCAGTTTCGGCCTTTCTTTGGGCCTTGACTTGTTTTTTGGATTTGCCAGAAGATGTATCAAGGTTCAACACAAGATGTATCAAAGAGCTCTGTTGAGCTCGGAGAGCTTGGCCGGCCAAGAACGAACTCTCCACATCTTGGAGCATCCTTCATCCATACACTATAGATACTCTAGAGTCCAATGTGCATTTAAATGGTGCCATCCTTGTCCATCCTTTTCCATGGTTTCCAGAACCATGACTCGCCACTCCACTCCATGAAATCCCAGGCCGCCGAAAGCGACCCCCACCAGAACCGTGGGACCGACCGCCGCCCGCAGCCACCGCCCGCACCACCGCGTGGACGGCGGGACGGCGCTCGTTTGGCCTCGGTGGTGACGCCGCAGACGATCAAGTGGCTGACGCCCTTGTCGCGCAAAATCTCGTTGAGGCCGGTCATGAAGAAGGCGCCCTTGCCTCGGTGATGGTGAGGAGATGGTGAGACTGTGCCCCGGTGCCCCGAGGTCTTCTTCGCTTCCTCAAACAAGACGGTGGCCAATGGCCGGTCTCCTAGGGGGTTCTACGGTTTTGCTAGTTAGAGATCGAGGTCAGTGTTGGTTCGTTCGTGAAATTTTGGAGTTGATCATACAACACGACGAACAGGAGGTGTTCAGATCTTTTCGGACCAGGTGTTAACATCCAGACTAGCGAGGTTGGGACCGACAGGCCAGACTGGACCTGGGAGATGGTTCCTGTGCCGTGGCTCGGTTCCGCTCGCTCGGAAGGGACAAGAAGAACGAAGTTCACTAGCATCCAGCAGCAAAGGAGAGGGTGCTGGGCTGCTTTCAAAGGGCCAAAGTCGAGGAGAGTGACGCTCCCTGGTGCTTGACACCAAGATTGGGGAGCACCAAAGAGATCCGGATCCTCAGTTGGTATCATTGATACACTCTTAAGATCTTCCTCTTAACATGGACCCAAAGGAACGCGTTGGCACCCCTCAGTCCGAGCGGTTTTCCGCGGTTTTACGCGGAGCCAGTGGTTTTTCAGGGTCCATGTCCGTCAGATCCACCGCACACCGGCCGCGAATCGACGGAAACCGCCTGGCTTCGGCACCACAATCTCGCCATCCTGAGAGAGGCGAAGGAAACTGCCAGATGGATGGGAGGGTTTTCACGGCAAGGAAGAAGCAAAAGCGCAGTGGTTCTCCAACTCAACTGAGTTGGGAAAGTTCGAAAAAGACGTTCGACACCGTTCCAAACCGCTCGCCCTTGGTTTTCGCGTCACACCCCGACGCATCGTTCGGAGGTCGGGACTCTCCGGAGATGCTCCGATTCAGGGCACTGACGTGAACTGACTGGAGGAAGACGTGCTGAAGAAAACATGGCACCAAGCTCAATGAGAATGGTGGAACCCACCTCCCAGTAAATCCATGCAACATCACAGTTGTTGACCATTCTGACCAGTGAGCCTGCCTGCAAACTGCTTCACCAAACTTCACCCAACTCAGATCCTCCGGCCCCGGTCGCCCCGGATGTGCGGGACCCTTGCCGCCCGAGGGGCCAGTGGCTTGGCGGCGTCCACGAAGTCATTCCCAGGAGAACCATCCACCAAGAGTCGACCCATGCCTTCCACCATCACCTGAGTCGCCGCACGTCCGAGACGTCGTGAATGAGGTCCGCCATGGCATGGGGCTCCTTTGGTTTGTTTTCACTCACTCCCCTTGGAGTCACGGGGTGAATTCCATGCAATTCTTCAATGAATGCACCTCATGGTCATCCTCATCTTCACACTAATCCTCAGTCATACCCCCCTAGTGACAGTGATTCTGGTACAAATCCATCTTTCCCCTCAATCCGAGCTGCATGGAGCAAATCTTTTGCACCTATCCATCGACTCGCAACAGCGACCCACCCATCGACCCAAAGGCCTCGCCTGCCCGATGCGCTTGTCTTCCGGCGGGCACCGCGGCCCACAGAGCTTCATCTCCTCGAGGCCCGCGTGGCCGGCTGGGCTGGAGTCGTGGGGCATCAATGCATTATGGGTCTCTGTGGATTCTAGGGTGCCTTTTGGAAGTTCTGTCTTCTTAGAGATATGAATCGAAGCACATATCTGGCGGGTGATTCTGGGGCACAGGAGGCCCAAATCCTTGTCAATTGGTATCAAACCAAATCGGACTTTTGGCAAGTACATATTGTAGACAAGAGAGCTAGATTACAAGCCACTCCAAACAACATGCAGCATCACTTGGGCCCCCTGACACAGCAGTCGGCCAAGTCTTCCCGATGAGCCTCACAGTCTGACACGATGTCGCACATGAATGCCTGGTTGCTGAGGAGTGAGTTAGCCTCTGATAGCTTCACTTCACCTACAGAGCTGTGACATCAGGAGCCAGTCGTGAGCAATGAGTATAGTATAGACATGTATGGACTAAATGACTGAATTCGTTTACTCAACTCATCCATCCAAATGGAGCACTGGACTTCGCAAAGGGTCCCGAAAATCTCCCCTGGACCGCACGGGGGCCGTTCTCTCGCCTCCTTCGTGTGGATGATGGCGGCTAAGGGCAGCTTCCGGGCAGCGTCCAGCAGCTTCCCAGCACCTGCAGAGTGTTTCACTCGCGTTTCGCTGGGCGTTGAGCGATGGGCCTTTCCGGTCCACGGGCGGAAACGAACGCGAGTCGCGACGGGAATCGGGCTTCGGTGGGTGAAAGTTCCCTCCCTTCGATCGGACCTGTCCGGCCCAGTGGCGTAAGGATCAAACATCACACCTCAAACCATCTCAAACCACAACCACAGCCTGCCGCCAAGAAGAGAATGTTCATAAGGTGTTTTAGTGATTAGAAAAAGCCAAATGTCAAAGAGGATCTCCTCGCTTCCCCATGTGCATCATCCCCCCGCCCGCGGTGCGGGGTGTCCGTCCTGCCTGGAAGGCACTCGTCAGCGAGCTTGGTCACATCATTGCCCAGCGCGTGGCCGAAGCCGCCCACGTCCAAGAAGTCCTTCCTCGGCGCGGCGGACGAACCGTGGACCGTGGACGAACCGCGCGCCAGCAACCACCATGACATCTTCCCGGCGCTTCGCGGCGCGTTCGGCGGCAGGATCAGGACACCGTTTTTGTCGGTTTCCGTGGACGAACGACCCTGAGGCGCATCCGTTTGGAGGTGGAGGTTAAAGATGGTTGAATATGGTTGGATCCAGTTGGATCGGTGGTTTGCCCATGTTTACTGCTGCAAGTTCGTGCATTCAGACTCCGAAGGGTGGTTTGCCCATGACCTCCTTGGTCGACTCGGGGTCCAGCATCATTGAAAGGTAGTGAAGTTCCGTTTTTTTAAGAAAATGGTTTGGACACCGGGGACATCTCCATCATCTTATCAATTCAACCAAATCCAAATTTTTCACGTAAACATTTCGGCATTGTTGCCCCCTTCTTCTGGACCAGTGGCTGGAAGTCAATGCAAAGCAGTGCAGTCGACTTCAAAGGCAAGGATAAGGGCCTAAGCCAAGAAAAAGGTCCATCCGGCCGTCGCCCAAGCATTTGAAATGGGTGCTTAAGTTCTTTAAAAAGCACAATGGTCTGCGGGCTCTCAATTCTTCATGAGGTCATGAGAAGCACTATGAATTGTGGAAGTGTTCAAAATGGAGGCTTCGTCAAGGTCCGAAGTTTTTTGGTTTCAAGTCCTCACCTAAACAATTCCAAGAGTGTGCCCAGCAGAAGTCAGGTTTGATCACACAATTCTCATTTGTAGGCACATGTTGAATTACAATCCACTTGGATCCCTGATTCCATCTTCAACCCAACCCAACCTGAATTCGCAAATTGATCCCGCACCGATGCTACACTCCTGGGAACTATCATGGAGTTCAGAGGTTGGGGGGAGGTGACCGAACCTGGGAAGTTGCAAGGACAAACGTCCACTTACTTATTGATGCACCAATTCAAGCGCAGTAGGCATTTAAAACTAAGACCCCAAATATCACATAGTCCCCCAATGGTCCTTCCTGCCCTTTCACAAATGCTCTTGGGGCGTCCTTTCTGTTGAACCACATCCACCTGACCAACGTGTTCTAACTCCAGCATGGTGGGGAGAAACCTCTTCCCAGAAAAGCACCACCATAAAACAACCACATCAGTCAAGTAAATCACCTAACTTGGGCCACTCGGAGGTCTATATCTAATGAAAAGTTCATGGGGTGAACAGGGATGAAAAAAGGTGCAATATCTTGGAAGATACACGGGAAAGCAGAACCTCCCATGGTGCTTTGAAACCATGGATTTCAAAAGGTGCTTGTCCAAGGGTTCATGGATCTGGACACACCAGACACACCCCGTCCATCTTGTGGAAGCCCTTTTCCACTCACTTCGCCAGAGCTTGGCTTTCCATCTTTCAGTAAAGCTGGAGATCATTAACCGCGAGATCATGCATGAACTCCCTGGCCAAGAAAACTTGGAAATCATTGATGCTGCTCTGGCCTCAACCTACGCCAGTGAGCTGAGCAGGAGCCTTGACAGGGGAAGGCTTGGCAGGGAAGGCTTGGTAGGGGGAGCTTTTGGAGGGGAGCTTGGCGCTGGCCTTTGTGGGGTGGAAGCCGGCGCTTTTGGAGGCGCCTCCTTGGTGGCAGGAGTGGCATAACTTTGTGGGAGAGCCAGCCTTCTGCTTGACTGTCCCTGGCTTGAGAACTGAGGTGTGTATGAAGCTGTGCATGGTGGGGTCCTCTGGGTCAGCCGCCGTCGCCTCACCTCCCCCAATCTGGGCCTGCGACCTCGTGGCTCTAATGTGGGGTCTGACCAGTCGACATCCAAGGCCATCTTGATGATGGCTTCCTGCGATGCTGCCCAATGCGTGCACATGACGGATGGGGTTCCACGTTAAAGCAAGGCACCCCGCAACATTGGATTGAGGGCGCTCAATCGAGGGCATGCGTTACGTAAACAACACCCCCGGGTATCAAGTTCACGCATGCTGCTCGTTGGCGTCATGGATGTGGCAGCCATCCAGCTACCCTAAGTCTGCTGTTAACCTAAGTTTTTTAAGTCAGTAAAATTACAAAAATGATGAAATTAGTTGTTTTACCTAAATGTTTGTGTAAATGTAAATTTTGAGGGAATCTACGAAGTTCAATAGTTCTGCGAAAGCTCCTCAAAACTTACTTGTGACCAAGTCAGGCTTCCTTGGTTTCCTTGCGCCCAAGGTTCTCTAACATGACTTTTGCTTAATCTCAAATCAACTTGTACTTGTGGGTTCCTTGTGACCCAGGTTCTCATGTATGACTTTTACTTGTGGGTGGCTTGTGTCCAAGGTTCTCAAGTATGACTTTGGAGTATACGTAGTACTTGTGAATTGCTTGCGCCCAAGTTCTCAAGAATGACTTTTACTTGCGAGTTACTTGTGGGCAGTATGCCTGTACTTGAGTTACTTGTGAGCCAAATGTCCTGGAGCAAGTAAAGCAAATTCTTTTGGGGCAGCGCACACAAATTGTTCAGCCCACTTTGTGTCTGAGATACAGCGCCTCTCTTTGAATTTTGGAAACTTGCCAACGATTAGACCCAGCCAAGCAACCTTTACAAAGTTTCTGGACCTTTTGCATGGTCGCCTCACCTTTGAAATGCCAACCACACTTGGAAAGGATGTATATACCGGGCCAGAAAGAGGCTGTGTAAACAAAAGTGGGTCTTACTGGCCATACGAAGTAATTCCCTCTCTTCACCTGCATAAAAGTTATGAGCTGCCCATGGAGTTGCGCCATTTGTAACCCCTGTGCGTACAGCTTGGCAGCCTGGTCCTCGGGAAATGTCAAGAAACCACAGGTAGGGTGGCACTCTTGCAGACAGCTGTGACGCTGAACATTGAGCGAGGAATACCTGGATGTTTATTTTGGTGGGCACTGGGCCAGGCCCTAGATGCCTGCAGCCCTACCTTTGACTATGGGATACCCAGACTTCGGTTGGAACATTGCGAGCTTGTCAAGATTGGGGCCTGCCTTTAATAAATGGATACATTTACGATTAAGTTTAGATGATTTTTGATGAAAATTTGAGGAACCTTTTGATGAACTTTTGAAGAACTTTTGATGATGTCTCTATGAACTTTAAAAAGTTCATCGAACTGATGAACTTTTTGAACTTTTCATATGGTGTTGATGAACTTTCGATGAACTAGTTCAAAAGTTAATCACATTTTCATCAAAAATCACAAAGAATTATGAACATGTGGACCAAATCTTCAGGAAAAGTCTATTTTTGAAAGGGTTTCTCACACTGAACTTGTGTGATTTGTCATTGTACTTGAGGAGTTGTACTTGAGCTGACCTGTGCTTTGCATGAGGATAGGTTAACTTGGCCAAAAACCATTGTGAGGTCTGGTTACTTGAGAGCGTTGATTACATGTTTGTATGTTCAAATTTGTACTTGGGCCTTGATTGAAGTGTGCTGCAGATTACCTGTGTGGTGGTTCACTTCCAAATTTGTACTTGAGCCTTACTTGAGCTGTACTTGTGCAGAGATGTGTTTGACACTGTTTCGACAAGTTTTGGCAATTTCATTGAGTATGGGATTGCAAGTTGAGGAGGGGAGTCGCTGTCAGATAAAGGCGTTTTCAAGCGCCAAACACTCTGAGGCAATGTGAAGTAAATGCATGACCTGAAACGAAGCACTTTTTCCAATCAATCTCAAGTAGGTTCATGACATGGTTAGAAACCAAACATTGCTAACTGGTCTGCAGTGAGTGCATGCTCAGGAACAACGCATTTTAAATTGTTCTGTGCGTCGCTTCTTTGCCAGACATCCTTACACAGCTGTTCTCAAGTAAGGGAAGGTTGGCTCAAGTAAACTTTCAAAAAACCAGTGCGGTCTCACGTATGGGGCTGCTCTCTTTTTTGGGATGAGCCTACAGGGCTCACTGAGTCTTTCCTTCAAAAAATAACTTTCTTTTTTAAACGCTACTACAAAAACCAACATGAAATCATAATTTAAATTGCCAAAATGATCCAACTTTATTCACTAAATGACCTAAATTGATTTACGTTTTACCTAAATTAATCTGCTTTACGTTATTGTGTATTCTTGAATAAATGTGCATTAGTAAATCAAAAAATTTGCTAAATTTTGGAGAGTAAAATTTAGGTAATCAGCAGACTTACGGTAGAAGTGCCTAAGCGACAAAGCGCTACAAGAAAAAGCTGAGTCTGCCAAATGGTGGGAAAGATTGGCGCGACCAGTGGACACTCAAAATGGGGACATCTTCAACACGCTGTGTCCGACCCGCTCCTCCGACCGAGCTCTGCCCACCATCATCAGGGTGCACATCGTTCATCGCCTCCCGGCGCGTCTGCAACACCTTCGAGGCCTTGCCACTCGCGGCTGCCAGGCTTGTGGTTGGAGCAATGATTCCTCGCTTCGTGCGGACCGAAGACGTCCAGCAACCTTCTGACCACCTATTGGGGCCACAGTCGCTTGGCATGGTCCGTCACAACCGACTAATGTGGGACCAACCAGTCGTCTGCAAGGATGCAACCAAGAGGCTGCAAAGAATCCACCACACCGCCGCCATCGTGACCACGGCACCACTGGTGGAGGGTCAGCGTCGCCACACGCTTCTCTTCCGGAAGGAGCTGGTGGATCAACTGCGCTTGTTTCTGCAAGAGGAGGGACGACTTCCCACCGCCACCGAGGTAGGTGTATTTGAGCTCCTCATCATTGTCCTCTGTCTTCTCTGTCTTGTCCTTCCCTGACCGCTCTGGCTTGTAGCTGGCGTCCCAACTCCAACTCCACCACGCGTCGTGTGGCACTGGCCTTGCTGCTGTCCTGGCCAGTGTCATGGCCATTGTCCCGGCCACCACTCAACACACATGGTGTGGGCGCGCGCTCTGAATTCACCGATGTTGAACGACAAAACTTGAGCGTGAAGAATGGGCAAGCAAAATACGTCGCACATAGAGCGCGTGGCAAGAGGGTGGCGGATTAGGCTTTTGCTGGAACAAAGCTCCTGTCCAATGAGCCATCATGTCTGGGAGCGCGCCATGTTCAATTGGGATCGGTTGCATGTCATATTCGGGAGCGAGTTGGTCTTTTCTTGGCCATCACTAATGCCAGTGGGTCTTGGTGTTGCGAAGCCAGGTTTTGGGCCTTTCGGGGTGGTTACTCATCCTGCCGAAGGGGAAGAATGTCGGAGCACATGTTGACCAAGGACAGTTTTGAGCCCCCATTCTAAATGAGTGAGCATTCTGAGCGTCCCTTCTGGCTATGTTGATGCATAAATCTGAATAAATGTAAGCTTTGGAGACATAGGCTTCCCGACCTGCGGGCATTGTTCGGTCAGTGTTCATGGGGGTCGTCATCACTATTGTTTGCCGACCAAACCCAACCAGCACCTCCAAAAACCCATCTTCGCATGCCCAGCTTCATTGTGTTTCTATGTCGCCCTGAACCCTCAACCCCAAGGTCAAAGGATCTCTGATCAGAGATATGTCTGGGACTGTAGAGTTGCCAATATCGGGCTTGGATCTCTGGGAAAAAACATCTGTCTAGATATGAAGTCCAACTCCGAAGTTCTACCCGTACTGAGTGGTGTGGTGGGACCTTCCTTCCTTGGTTAGCCCGTTGCACCAACCATTCCCAACAGAGCGCGCCTCAAGAGACGAGGAGCTCCACTCGTACGTTGTCTTGCCGAGCTGCGACGCCTCCACTGCCAACTCCCGGAGTGTCGGAAGCTGCAGCAGCCATTGCTCGGCCGAAACTGCTGCCACCGGCATCCCCGTAAGGGTCAGGTGTCCACTTCCCTGTGGCTGTAGGTCAAACTCGCGCATGTGCCTGAACGCTTCCCAATGCCCTTCAGCTGTGTCCACGAGAGGGAGCAAAACACCTTCAAACAGAGCAGTTCTTGTGGTAAAGTTGGGCAAGTAGACCCACGCAATCATTGATGCCGATAAATTCAGATTGTGAACGACCCTTGTAGGACCATTGTAGGATGCTGCGTTGATGTGCAAACCTGCGGTGTCCATGTGCCATTGGGAGGTCCCATGTTTGAACGAAGAACCAAAACGAACAATTTACAAAGCACCTCACACCAACAGAGGTTGAATGACCTTAAAGACAATCCCACAGGTAACCCGGTAAGGTCCTGTAAGGTCCTGTTTGTAGAGGAGAAGCTTCCTACACATCAGCCCCTTTCACAATGACCTCTTAGTGTAGGAAAAAAGGTGCTCCAACAAAAGCATGACACCACTTTTTCTTATAAGTATATCATACAGTATATCAGTATATCCTTCAAGCCATGTTCAATTGGCCCCACCAAAAACAAGTCATGTGTTTCCTGGCTCTCCTTGAATTGTCCTGTTTTTTCAGAGAGCGAGCAAACGCAGAACAGCATTGCAGAAATCTTGGTTTTCTCCAGAGCTGTGTGCGGAGAAATCCTGATATTCTCCGGACAGAAGTAGCAGTCACTTGCAGCCACTTGGCAGCCACTTGCTTGGGCAGCCACTTCCAGCCACTTGCAAGTGGCTGCAAGTGGCTGCAAAATGGAAAATCAAAATGCGCACCTCCTGCGAGCTCAATGTGTCTTTTCCTGGGGTTTCCAATAAGAGCCTCACCCCCTTTAGCGTGCACCCCTTCTACCTTTCATTGGTGATATGTCCTTCTGAGCAGCCCTCCCACCCTCTCCCCTCCTCTCCCATCCCAAACCCTGCCGTTGAGCTCCCGCACTTCGGCAGCGTGTTCAGCTTGGCCGTGGGACCCTCCTCCGCGGCCTTCACCGCGAAGTGCTGCGCGGCCTCGTTCGGTTGCAGGGCTTGGTTCAAACCTCGTTGACGGCTCGACTGCTGGGCACAGGGCACGGACACCAAAAGGATGGTAAACAGATCTAAAAAAACCGACTTGATGACCTCTCAGTGACGTGTAAAGCGAGGTACAGCCTTTGAAGTTTGAAGGAATTCCTCATTGGAAGTTGAAATCCGTCAACCCCACAATTTCACTCCAAGAATCATGCACGATGCATCAACATCCATCCATCTGTCAAGAAGTCTTGTAAACCTTCTCAGCACGGCAACCCCCCGCTTCCAGTTCAGGGCAACCTGTTTCTTCGACTCTAGAAACCATACTCATCCAACATCCACAGCCACCGACCCTACCCATCCTTCCATATCCTTCCTTCCCATCCACTGGCCACACCTCCTTTTTGATCCGCGTCTTCTCACGCGCCAAGGCAGCACTTTCGGCCGCCGGGCGTTTCTGAGGAGGCGCCATGGAGAAGTCCAGGAGAAAAACCACCTGCGGATCCCTCACAGAGGCGAGGCCGCTTGTTGTGTCGAAAAAAGGGAGGCGCCGTTGAGGTGGTTCTTAGGAAGTTCCTGAATTGCTGCGTTCTCAAAGGTGCTGGCTGGTTGGTTGATGTGGCTGTGGTTGGGAAAAAGAGTGGAAGTTGTTGAAAGCGCGTGTCCGCTCCTGACGTCAGTCGTCCGGCGCGGAGAACATCCAGAAAATCCAGTCTGTTGGGAAGTGATGGAGTGGTGGTGCTGAGTGGTGCTCAAACATGTCCGACCTGGCATGGTCCCGATACTAAAAACAAAACTGGTTCCGTTTGATCCGCAGGGCCGGGCGACCGAATCGCATCCGAACGAACGAGTTCCTTTGGCGACCATCGCTCTTCTTTGGAGAAAGGAACTTCTTTGACAAGGAGCAGCCAAGTGTGCAATATCAAACCGTGCCAAGAGCGATGTGTAGCTCAGCTTTTGACCCTTCAAACAGCCTCATCTAGCCGCATCGAAGGGCGAGTTGCTAGACGAACGCGGTTCGTAGCTCCAAAAAGGTACGGCATCCTGATACATCGGGTTCCGCTTTTAAACGATCAATCACTGGGCCAGTGCATCCCAAGCAAGCACCTGGAACACCCCCAAACCATCCGTGGGAAGCACCTCAATGGCGGACAGACACCAAGTTCCCTGATGAAGCTTCCCCAACATCGAGGCTGAGAACTAACCCCCCATGCACTGCTACCGCGCTTGACATCTTGACACCCAGCAGGCGAAAAGGCTGGACATTCGTCGTGCCCTCTGGAACTGCTTCGGCACCGGTGCCGAACCTGCGCACCTCGTTCACCACAAAATAGATGACCCTGGGAGTCCAGTTGACTATTCTTGAAATGGTCCGACTATCCCGAGTGACAGGGAATTTCCTGAACACTTCAGTGGTCACTTCTAGGTATTGCCTGTACATCACTGCGCCAACCCGAAGCTTCACTTCGGCTTGTGCACAGTACCGACTCCCTCCGCCCGACGTCCCGATCCCAGGGACCTCACGACCGCCTCCGGACCGCCGACCCCGTCACCCGGTGGACGTCCGGTGCCCCGTCACCCGGCCGGAACCGGTGGACCTCGTGCGGATTCCTTTTTGGTCCGCTCTTTGGACGTTCGGATGTGCGGAGAAATTGGCTCAGATCTCAAGCGTTTGGGAGCCCAAGGCGAAAATCGTAGGAAGGTTCCGGGCGTTGAATGATTGTTTGGTTTCTGATGAGTGATACTTTCGATGATGGGCTCCTTGTGGCATTTAGGCCAGCCCTTTCATGCTGGCTGATGGCCAGTCGCCAGTTTCCGCGAGATCGACACCATTTGGAAACAGAGGTGAAAAACTTTGAAAAACTAGATCAAATCATTATCCCCGGGAAAGGTCTGCTCTCTCTTTAATGAAGTTCCTTTTACGGTATATCAATCCTTTTCTAAATCCTTGTCTAATATTGTCTAATCAAATGCAGTGGGTAGCGAAACTGTATGGCCTGAACTGGCCTCAATCCTTCTTTGGAGTGCTCTGTGACACGAAGGTCTGGTTGAATAAGAAGAGGTAAATCCCTCTATCAAGGTCGTATACTGCCCGGAGAGGAGTTGAGAGACTCCTGGTGTGCTCTTTGGCTGTGGCACTTCGGCAGCTCAGTGCTTTCCCTGGCTTCCGTTGGACCTGGGCGATCAGAGGGCAAAGAACATTGTGGACTCCCTCATTGGGGCTCCTGACCCACATATTCAGAAGTTAGTTAGACATAGTTAGACCATGTTAGACCCCCTGGCACTCACCCCAACCGCCTGAGGATGTGGGCCAAAAGCCCTAGATAGCCCTAGAAAACTTCTCGCAAAGTGATGCTGAGTCATGTCACAACGTTGTCAAATCAACCAATTGAGTTTTCTCTCATGCATATAGCCACGTGGAACAAGTTTCTCCGATGTGAATCCATCACGAGCCTTGCAACATGCTGCGCCCACTTAGAGGTTGAAGGAACATCTCTTCGTGTCTTGCCAAAGTAGCTTGGAACGGCTGACACAACTTCACAGGGGCGGCGAAGGTGGCTTGGGTTGAAAATGTTTACAAAAAGAAAAACAAAGTTGTTTCCTCTCCAGAACATGCAACTCTTTCCCGATTTGGGCAAAGACGAAACGCCCGACTCTTTTTTTCAGCACTCACCAGAAGTGGTCTTCCAGTTGCTTTTGCGGTCCCACCTCTTTTCCAAGTCAGCAAAACATCAGAAAAAACAATCCTCCAACGAGTCGCTCGTGGCCCCGGTTCCCTGTTCTTTCTTTGGGCCCCCCGGCAGCACACCTCGCTCGCCCTTGAGACACCTCAGTCTCATAGCACTGCACCGGTCGAGTCGAGTCGACCGTTAGCGCGTAAGTGGGTGCAGCGTCGGTTCACGCTGCACGCATCTCAGGTCGTTGGGATGGGGATGGAGGCGAAGGTTGGGAGAAGAACAAAAGGAACAGGTATAGGCCCAAAAAAGGTGTCGATGGTTGAGGGGTGTCCATGAATCACCCTTTGTGGACAGTGGAATTCCTTTGGTGAGGGATGGTGAGGGGATCGGATATTCTCATAATTAGTGCGTCCTAGAGTATTGGAGGATGTGGTCAACCTGCCAAACTTACGACTGCACCAAAAGCGTGCAGCTTTGTAACTAAATTGAGAAGGTCTCTTTGTATCGATGCTAATTGAAAGAGACAAAAACGTTTCCGGGATTCCTTCTTAGGGGATTCTTGGAGAAAAACGAGCACACAGCCTGTCTGACCTGCGGATCCCCTGCGCGTGACACCCCACGGACCCTGCCGCAACCGTCCCGTCGGGCCCGTCTTCGGTCCCGTCTCCCGTCGGGAACGGCCTCTCGGCGCAGCTGGTGACGTTGTCCACGTTGAAGCCGAACTTGTCCAGGCCTTGACGGGGGCTACGTTCGGGGCTCCTGGCCTCGACTAGGAGGGGCCCCCTCAGTCCGCCCGAGCCGTGGGACAGCGGTTTGTTGGGGTTGAGACGCAAGGGGATGGGTGGCCAACGATCCCCCAAACGAGCCTTGGAGGATGATGCCAAGAGCTATCATGTGCAGGAAGGCGGTTTTAACAGTGGTGAAGTGAATAAACCATCAGGTGATGCATTCATGATGTCTTGAATATCCCTCTACCGCATCACATTTAGACACCAAAACCATCTACACAACCACAGCTTCCACCACCCAACCACCCGAACAAGCACCCCACCGTCGATCCACCGTCGACCTCACCCCAGTCGTCCCAAAAACCCTCACTTCGACCACCCTGTTCGACCACCGTTCTCCGCCCAGGGCACAGGTGCCGCCCGGCGCAGAGGCGCCGAAGACGTCGATGCCCACGAAGGCATCGGCCTGGGGAGCTGGGAAGAGAGGAGTTATATTAGCAAAATAGGCGGTCTCTAGGCGGTCTCCAAATAAAGTGTATATATTGGACTATAGTCTCCAAACTGTTGAGGGTCTTTTTTAGAAGAATTATGTAGGTGGTCTCCAAATAGATCGAAACGTAGATCCCCACGTAGAAAATGTCTGGGAAACCGTGCTACTCTCTATCTATTTGGACATGACGATAAGGGACTAAAATGTGCAAGGATGTCCAAAGTTTCGGATAGTTTGATGCTTTTGGCTCGAAGCGGCTTAGGCACAAAGCCTACCCATTGGGAGGATGTGAACAGTGAACGCCTCTTGTTGTGCAGCTCATCAATACTCAGCACCTTAGAGGTGAGGTTCCCGGAAAACTTCCCCTTGCCATCTGCCAACCTCTGCCGATGCGAACTCACCCCGACCACCGGCCGAGGTCCCCAACGAACTCACCCCAGCCGGAGGTGCAGGCCGCCTGGCGGTTTCGGGGGCACGAAACCTTCGTTTCGGTCGCGTCTCTGCGCCACTGAAAAGGTCCATAGATTGGTCTTGAAAGGAAAGCTTTTGGGAGCAATTCAGAACAAGAAGCTACTAGTAACAAGGGCACCTTATTTTAATTGTAAAGGTGCAATAATAATATGATGTTATATCGGCTATAAATTTCATGAATAATTCTTATAAATTTAAAGCCTAATGACAATGAATAAGAGAACTAGCCATTGACTTTTGCCATTATTTTAGATTAAAATGGCAAATGGGGTCACTTGTGGAGACGAATGAGAATGTATATTAACATGCCACTTATTTTAAGTGGCAATAGATAAGTGAATTATGGATGAAATTTCTATGGAAAAATATAGCAGAAATTTCATCATGAATAAATATAATGGCTTCCAAGATTATAAGCTATACCATCATATATTTAATCTTGGAAGCAGTTCATATATCTTTAATAATAAGGGATCATCCACGTTTATTGATAATAGTAATCCTAAAGGAATAAACGTGGATGAAGGACATAAGATAGATAAAATTAATACTAATATGTGCTTTAGCATCTTTAATTATATTTCTATCTTGCAAAAGCACCAATAAAGATAATAAATAATATATAATAATCTTTAATATTTATCGCCAGGTAATAATAGAATGAAAATAAACTAACCTGGCGATAACCCATAAATATATTAATAGATGGCCATTTAACTATAAAAGAAAACCAAATATTAAATGGCCATAGAATAGATATTAATAAACTTGGCCTAGCAATATAATTAAGAGACAAAATAGAATATAAATTGCTAGGCCTTATCATTCATTGGTTAACCCCAGATATAAATATAAAAGATGGATGAATTAAATGCTGGTGTTAACATTAAAAAGTAATATGACTCATGAAATCTCATCATTAGTAATAAAAGTTGAATGAGAGAATGAATAATTATGATGAGATTTCTCCCTAAATATTAATGCTGTGTAGATTAAAGAACCAAAAAAAGGAGAAAGTAAAACCGCGAAGTCCCTGATCCAATAATATGAGGATATGGGAGAGATATTTTATAAATGATAGATTGAAAATTAATGATGATGGTATTTTTTAGGGTTATCGTCTTACCTTTTTCCTTCTTGATTGGGAAGAATTACATCCTAAAATAATATGAATAATGAAGATACGCCATGAATAAAAATATAATTGGTGAAGATTATGTGGCGATAAATGCCCTTAGAATCAAGAAATGGATTGATGGTGATGAAAAATATGATAGCAAAATAGTAATAACCTCTTGATAATTCCCTTTATAATTAGAAGATCATGAAAGAATGAAAGGAAAAATATAAAGGCTGTAAACGATGGGTCCAACCTGTCAAGAGATTATGAAAAATAAGAGAAGTAATCCATAAAAGATAAGTGACCATAAGATACAAAGAATAAAATAGCATAAAGAATTAAATGACATCATTTCCATAAAAGACAGGGAATAACATAAAAGAAGATGATGGAAATGAATTGACGATGACTTCTTAGCTAAAATAAATGAGAATGTGTCTCCTAAATCTAAGAATGAAAGGCGTGTACAGGAATGAAAATAAACCGGAAGGATCCTTTCAATTAAATAGAAGATTTCCTGTCAATCATTATTCATAAAAGAGTTATCCATAAGATTACAACGTAAAATATCCCATTCCAATATGATAAATAATGTCTTACCTTGAAATTAAGAGAGTCAACCAATATTAATAAAACATAACTAAAATATGAATATAAATGATAAGGGCAAAATAAATAATATCGCTACTAGAAGCAAAGGGCATACCAGGAGCAAGAAGCTACTAGGAACAAAGGAACAATTCAGGGGCCCCTCGAGAGAAGAACCCGAAAGGTCTCAGGTGCGGTGAAACGCAAGGTCTCAGGTGCGGTGAGGACGTCTGGTCCTCCCCCGCAGTCTCCCTCTCTCCCCCCTATCGCCATCGCAGCGTTTCTGGTGTTTGATGTTGCACATGTTAAACTATGCTATGTATTATGCTATATCTTATGTGTGTTATAGGTTTATGCCTACTTGGCCTTTGTTTATGGCTTTTGACCCACCCCAAGACCATGTCGCACTTGTGAATCCATCGCCCCGGCTTGTGGGCGGGCGCAAGCGTCACCTGCTCCGTTTTGTGGGCCAATGCCGTCACTTCTGGGAGACAATGCCATGCCGTCTTCTGCTGGCATCAAGCATGTCTGTTTTCTTTACAGGAGGCGTATGTCAAAAGCCCCCTGTAAATCCACGTGACAAGCACTGTATAGAACTCTTCTTCATTTTCCAAAAGCCCAGAAATTATCCAAACACAGGCCGATGGTGCACGAATGGGATCGGGCTGTGCCAAACAAGTGACCCTCTCACAAGCGGCTTCTGTGCGCCACCGCTGCCGTGCCACCCAAGGCAGCACCCGCTGCTGCCGCTGCTTTTGCTGTTGCACCGAGTCCTGCTGCTCCGATGGATTGACAAATCGCCACAGTGGACCCCGCAGCCACTCCACCTCCATTGGCGGCCGTGGCGCTCGACATCATCGCGGTAGCAGTGCTGCCTGCAGCAATGCCGGTTGATGTAACGCCAACACTGGCCACAGCAGCCGGTGCGGCCACCACGGCCACTGCGGCACCTGCAGCTGCGGCTGCTGCAGTTTTAATCAGCCAGGACATGACAGCCTATGGACACACTCCTAGTTCCACACGCCTTACTGGCTTCAAGCTTGCTGGCGGCGACGCGCAGCCATCATCAACAGGGAGCCATCAACGCTAGGAGCTAGCATCGGGTTGCTTGATGGGCCAAAGTCACAGTGCATTCTTGTGCTTTCGCCGGCTTGCCTGCAAGCCAGCGTTCACTCTCTTGCTCTCACCGTGACCATGCACAATCCTTTGCAAATCCATTCGGTCCCTATGATGTGCTTGTTGTGAACGTTGTAGTCGGCGAAATGGCCAGTGCAAGGAAATGGCGGAGGGCGGGTGTAAGGTGGTAGACATACCACCAGACTATGATACGTGTGCTCCTTTTCTTGACCAACCTTATGAGATGACCAATTCCATGTCCCGACCTTCGAGATGAAAGAGTCGAGTTGTTTGTGGTCTGCCCGGTTTGAAGCTTTGGGGGTTCAGGCTGTGGGCTGGTTTTGGTAAAAATGCCTAGAAGGTGTTGTTCCTATTGTCAGGAGGAGGACTACTGAGTGTCGGTCTTGAGGATGTCTTAGCTGGGGCGCAAAGCAGGGCGGCACGTGTGGGCGGAAAGCAGAAAGCAGAAACGGTCACCTGCATATAGGGGAAATGGTTAAAGTCTAGGATTTCTTCAAGTCGAGGGTTGCTGGCTTTGGGGCTCAGACGGGCGTTGAGCTGATGTAAGGTATTTGTCTCCTTAGTGCGGTCAGGTTGCTCTCATCAGGTTGGTGTGTGTGTGTGCATGTCCCACTTTTTGTTTACCTAGAGCCCATTTCACCCCTGTTTTGATAGCACCTTGACTGGTTGGTGGTTTGGTGGTTTGGCGGTTGGTTGTCATGCAGGGTCTAGGCATTGATAGCAATTCATCTTGACAAAACCCATCAGGACATGACAAGACAACACTGCACAACTACCTCGCGATGCAGCTCAAACGGTACCTCTCCTGAGATGCCCCTTGGCTCTGCTGTTGTTGCTTTCAAAAGGAGATTCAAAAGTTTTTGGAGGGTCTGATTGGAAAGGTACACCTGAAGGGGATTGGCAAAAGTCTGAGTTGTATGTATGTTCATGTGCGTTTCCGTGTTCGCCCAGTTTTCTTTTGTGTCTTTTCTCCGTGTTCACCCCAGTTTCGCTTCGGGCAGGAAGGTCCCCAGCTCAAGCGATCATAATTACTGCAGTACTCCGAAAGGAAAATAGCTTCAAACTCACCAGTTTCCAAAAATAGATCGATCTTCTGGCTCGGCTTCTGCCTCCACGCTCATCTTTGGCACGTCCGCTGGGAGCAGCTTGCTCTTGTAGCTGTCCGGCTGCGCCTCAAACCCAAAGCCGAGGCACCTAGGCACCTGAGGACACCTGGGATCTGACATAAAAAATGCCATGACCCACCCCTCGTGGAGAAGAGCCCTACTTGCTAAGAAACCGAACCGATGGCGCTCAATTGCGACACTTCAAACGACCCATGTGATGGAACTTCCGCGGTCCGGCTGAAACCGCTGAAAACTGGTGAACACGGAGTGACAGGGCAGCTCAACTCCACGGCATGTAGAGAAACTGGACCGCTTGGAAGCACCCAATATATTGTACATGACCGTGTTCGTTCTCTCGCCTGATAGGAGAAAAGAGCGGTTTTTTCGGATGTCTTGCTCCTAACATCTCTTGGAACACCATGAGTTCTATAACTCTGATCATGAAAATCTGCATTTGTCTTTTTTGGGGTATCTTTTTCTTAGTGGATCTTCATTCGTCTTTTTCATCTTCATTATGTAATTTCGTTGGGGATAGATTACCAACAAAGCCAATAAAATGAATGGTCCATGTTCTATCTCTATCATAATCATAATAAATTAGTGTTCTTTCGCAAACAACGAGCAATAATATAGGATAAAGAAAATATGCTGGGTGTGAAAATAAGTTGATGACCAAAAGTTATTCCGATTCACAATCCCTTCATCTTCATGGATGTTCATAAATGACATTGAATCAAATTGCTAGATCAAAATTCCATGAATATTGTATGTGCTTTTATCTGTTTTATTGGACTTTGCAAAAGCATTCCTAAGGTGATAAAATCCCGGGAGGGGCCTTTTTGATCCCAAATCTGGAATTGGAGCCATCATCCACAAATGACAGCATTGGAGCCAGTGTGAGATTCCGGTTCTCCGTGCCACATGGCTGTCCACCACTGCCCACCAAAGCCAAGAAGCCCTGAAGACCTCGCACGAGGGCATGGAGACCACTCGCACCTGCGGGGATGAGGGAGCTCCGACAGGGTGAGATGCCCCAAAAACCGACGCCCCAAGAACCACTAATGGACGCCCACAGATCGACTGAAGAAGAAAATTCGATGTGTTCGGGAAAACGACCCACCGACCAACGACCCACACCGACCAATGCATATGATGTGTGTCTGTGTGTACTGTAGTGTGTGTGTAAGCGGGCGATCCAACGACTGTCCCGTTGGCACGACCTGAACGACTGCCCAAAGAACCAAAAAAAAAGGAACCGTAAAATGTCATGGACGCTCAACATCAGTAGCATAAAGCTTCCCTCATCCCTCTTATGGGCATGTTCTGATTCCCCTGCAAGCCCACCCTGCACCTACCAAACACGAAACTCTCCCCACCAGGCCCTCCACCAGGCTTGACACCTTCAATATCTTCAATCAGCACAGTGAGTCCAAGCACAAAAAAATAAGTTAAAGAGTCCCACCAAGTCCAAAACTAAATTTGAGTTTTGGACTTGGTGGGACTAAGAGAAGAATTTAAGAAACAAGGTCCAATCACGAGCGTCCAAAACACCTCACCTCGTCCCACCGTCCGTCGTCCGGTTCCACCCGACTCACTCGTCGACGTCATCCACTCACTCAGCTTCTGGGCTTTCCGCAACCGATCGCCAGTTCGGCGCCTGACCGTCCAGCTTCTTGGCGGCGTCCACGCAGAGACCCACCTCCGAGCCGGTGCCGATCCTCAGCGCGACGGTGGACGGCGACGTTCGGAGCGGCACAGACTGTGGATCCGTCCCGGTCCCGGTCGGGCACCAGGGAACGGCGTTCGCTTTCGAACGAGGAGACCAATTGGAATCGGTGTGGTGACAAATTCGGAGGACGTAAAGAAGGATAGGATCGTTGATGATTTTGTATGATCCTATCCTTAGGTAAAGCTAAACAGACCTATCCTATCCTATCCTATCCTATAGGTCTGTTTAGCTTAAGGGAACGGTGCAAAGATGCTGAAAAGGACCAAGCATGACCAAGCGTCAAGATGAGCTCGGGCTTCTCACACTCGATGACCTCATAGGCACCTCAAGCTATGGAGCGAATGACCCCTCAACCCGCCAAGACTGCACCAGCACCACGGAAAGGGTGTCCATGAATAGCCCCTTAGGGGTCAAGGGGTGTACCACTCCATGGGCCTGGCATGAATTCTACCACTGGGAAGAAGCTCGACCATCACCCAACCCATCCAATGGTCTATCCGTGCCGCGTCGTGAAACGGTGCTCGTCCACCCGAAGCGATGGAAAAAGGTGAGAATCAATCTATGGGCAAGTTGGGAAGAGCTGAGATCCTTCTGTCGCCTCTTCAGCAAGTTGGATGCCATGTGCAAAACCATCCATGTGTTGCGCCCCCTCAGTCTCGGACCCTTCATGGTGTTCTCAATGGACGAGTTGGGCAAGTTGTCCACGGCCTGGCGAGAGAAGGCCATCATCGTGGGTCGGGACTCGTTCTTGGAGCGCTCCACGGCATACCTGGGCAGTCCGCTCAAGGAGGCGGAGACAGAGCGTGTCTTACGGTCGGACCGGTCATTGAGGTAGAAGAGCATTCAGTGAATGGCCCGACTGAGGACGGCCATTGAGCTATGCTTGAGGATTCTTATGGATGTTGCGATTTGTCCCCGGCAACCATGGTTTCCTCAGCGGATGAGAGATGTCCTGGGTGGCTTCTGTATGTTGTCACGTGAGGAAGAAGACGTTGACACCCAGGACAGTCCCGTTGTCTCTAGGGGCGGCAGCCCAAATCTAAGTCGACTGGAGACCTGTTGGAGGATCTTCTGGTATACTCTTGAACATTCTTGAACTATCACTCTATTCTCGCCACCGTTTCATTTACACTCCCGAAAACTAACATGGAAGTGGAAAACACCCTGTTTGTAGAGGAAAATGGTCTTCCAAGAGACCATTGGCCACTTCCATGTTAGTTACAGAGGGAGTATTGGTTCTTAAGGGCTTTAGACTGCAAAACCAGATCACCCATTCTCGACATGCTCGTATGCGTCCGGAGGGGGTCGTCCGACGTGTTTTCACTGCCTGCTTCTTGTTCCGTGCACTTCTGGGCCAATCACCTCCTCACTCCTGTCCGTCCCGAGTCGCTTGTAGGCACCCGCCGTCTCGTTGCCGTCGGCGGGGCGCATCACGGTGAGGTCCGGGATCAGACGCAGAGAGGGCAAGGTCTCGATGGGCTGATGGGTAGGGCCATCCTCACCCACCTCAGCTGTTGTTTGCCTTTCTCAACGGTCACTTGAGAGAGGCAATGGGTTGAGCTCAGTTGCTTCAGGAATGAAAAGAGGTTTGTTTTGTGACATGTCAGCCTGCTTCTTTGGAAAAAAAGGGGAATGCGGCGGCGAATGCGGCTGGCCAAAAAGAGGGGCGGGCAAAGACCCAAAAGAAGTCAACAAGCAATATCATCTTTAGATACCTAGCACTTCCAAGGGGTGCCCAATCGAGACCTATAAGTAGTGTAAGGTAGTCCAATTGGACATTCAATGGATAGATCTTAGATATATGGATTGTGCCATCCTGTGATCATGTCATCCCTTCCTCAACGAGCCACGACCCACGACTCTTGGTGTTCAGCCAAGACGTCGGTGACCATGTGCATCACGCTGATCCCCGGTGGCCGGTGTGAACGTCATCACTCATGTGGTGCGGAGTGAGTGATAAACACCAACCAGGTCACCATCCGAAAAACCAGCGACCTCTGCCAAGAGGCTTGGCCAAG